TCGGACTTTTTCTTTTCCTAAAATGTTAAAAAAAGAGCATCTCCTCGTCACCCACCACAGCAAAGCAAACCGTCAGACTAGGCGAATTTACCTGATTGTATATTTTCACTAAAATAGATATTTGCAAATGGCAGATTTATTCCACGGCAATCGTGTCTATTCCCTATAAGCATTAGGTAAGAGAGTACTTAGGTTTGCTGCTACAGGGATGAGGGAAAGTTATAAAATGTGTTTTGTCAGATGTTTGGTATTAAATAAATTTGTCAAATTAAATCAAAATACAGTAAGAGAAGTCATATTCATACACAAGCAATCTACTACTGTTAACTTATTCTTCATAAAAATAAAATAGTAGTTTAAATTTATTTATTTTTTATTTTACCCGTAATCGTTAAGTGTTTAGCAATGTTTTAGTGTATGAAATTATTTGTCGTTACGTTCTACAAAATGATATGGAAATAAATTGCTATTTTTTTATTAGGGGTTCAGGTACAACTTGTGTCAATATGGTGATCTTATAGAGACAATACACTACGAAAAAAGTTATATCATTTTGAAATGTGACAACGTCTACATTACAGGATGAAATTACTCATTCAAAATTATTGACCTTTACGATTAAAAGAGTTGTATTTTAAGTTCATCAACTTTTGAGTTAATTGTTTCCAAAAATCTCCTTTCCTTTTATTTAGCCTGTGTCTTGGCACATAACGATCACAACGAACGACACAAAAACCCTCTCGCTTGAATTAATCTGAACCCGTCGATATTAAGAATATATCCATAGTAATTCTTGTGTTGTAAAGCAAAATCGTTTTGTATATTAACACTGTATGTGAGTTAAGACTATTTTTATTTGAGCCTTAGAGCAAGGTAATAACAGCATGCTTACGACAAAGTCACGCTGATACAAGTAGTTGTATCATCATGAACTTACCAACAGAAGTAGACTTCTAATCTCAATGTAAAATCTGAAGTTTTTTTTCAGTTTTTCATGTATAATATCGGTTGAATTCTCGCTAGAACACGCACGATATATAGGGGATTGAAATATTGGAAATACAGATATTTAATGTCCGATATGATGTATATATTGATAATTTCCTACCTAACCGATCCTTCGATACACCGATATAATATTGAGAAATAAATGTTTTCATTGCTATTCAGATTTCAGATTTAGAAAACACGAGTGATCTTGCATGTAAACCTTTTATTGTTGTAGCTTGATTGCATGTATCTTTTGATTTCTTTACTTGCTATATACAATATTGACATGATCTATTGAATAACCTTTAGTGATAAATTACTTCTATCTATCAATCTATAGTGACTATAGCGAGCCCTGTATCACGGCCGCCTTTAACTCCAGGCCGCGGTCTTCGAAGTGGCAACGTCGCAAGTGGTGTTGTAACAGCTGTTTTTTTTGGAAACAGCTAATAGTATTTGTGTATTTTTTAATAATATGAAAGCTTGTTTACTGGGCTATGAAAATATTGAGTCTACTTAAATATACAAAAATAGATTTTTAATTTAAATATTGTTTTGGTTTTCAATTCTATGTGTTTTATATTCAATCTTTTAATAAATTTATGTTCACAAATTTAAATTTAAATGAATAATACGCAAATTAGTGAGCTGGTGTCACCTGTTTGCCATGTTATCTTATGGGACGTCTGGCGCTATACAACACCACTTGCAACGTTGCCAATTCTACCAGGTCGTGGCCTGTAGTTAAAGGTGGCTGTGCCTGTATCCAAACTGTTTACTGTGGTGTTGTAATGGGATTATGGGAAGACAAATTCATAGCCTGGAGAACCACTTGCTAAAAGCTTATTGGCATGAGACCTTAACAAATTTATTGAAGAAGAAGTGCGCACTCTGTCAAAACTGCCAGTACTGCCACGTTAAGCATAATTGCGGAGAATCGTTTAATCATTCAAATTAACTTAAGCTTACTTCTTAATTTTTTACTGTAGTTGCTTTAGTCTGCTATGTTGGATGAATGGTTTCGTAGGAATAAAAAATGTAATAGTTTTAAGCGCAGTAACAATAACATAAAGAAACTAAACTGATTTTGCACTATCAAAGCAACAAAAATCTAAATTACAGTTTTCCTTGTCAAGCACAGTATTACCCCTAACGATATTCATTCATATGTATTCATCACCTATTGTTTAAATAACCTTTTACAAAAGTACTGTAAAATGATAAATTCTTGTACAATAGTATTTAATTCAGCAAGTCTGTGAAAAATTAAAGATAACAATTATTAAGTTTTAAAATTTATCATGATTCTATAATCAATGGCTTAGGTAAACTTGTTTTTTCTCATTCGTCGTTTTCCTATCTCCGTTCTCTATCAGACAGATGTGATAAATTTTGAAGTTGTTTTTAGCGAATTTCCCTATAGGGAAGTAGCTATTACCGTAGGTCTCATGGTAAGACTTAGGCCCGGGACCGATTTACTTTTTCATTTTAATGTCCCCAGAGGCCAAAAACACCATTCGTTCAAATTTTTATATATGTATATATATATATATATATATATATATATATATATAGGTATATATATAGATTTATATATATATATATGTGTCCGTGAACACGATAACTTGAGTAATTTTTATCCGATTTTGATGAAATTTGGTTTGAAGGTGTAAGGCGGGATAAACTTCAATGAGTTCGCGATCCAGCATGATCGGACCATGGGAACAGGGTTTTATGGGGGGTTTTATGGGGTGAAAATGGGGTTTTCTCACTTTTTACCCTCAAAACACAAAATTTCCCAATTTTTCTCTAAACCTTCTTAAAGAGCTTAAAAAAACAAACAATTCAGTATATCAAAGTGTTTTTGTACGGTTATTGGTTACGGAGAAAACTAAAAAAATGGTAAATTTAAAATTCCCATGTTATTCTTATGGAGAATATTGTAAAATGTTGTAGTTTGCTTGTTTATGGATATATTTTGATCAAAGTTGGCAAATTTATTTATTTTATAGTAAGCTATCAATATTTTACTAAAAACACACTACTTTATTAGTTTCCTTGTAGCAGCAAACCTAGGTACTCGTTAAACCTAATAATGTTATTTAAATAGATCAATTGAAAATCAATTCGGACAAATGGAAATTCGCTTAGACGGCAGGTTTGCTGCGGCGGGGGTATTGTTTACATCACATCATCATCATCTCATTTGTCTGCTACTGCTACTCTGCTTCAGCCAGTGTTTCCATTTGAGGGATAAAAATCCCTTTCTAGGGATATTTAGGGCCTTCGAGGGATTGAAAAGGGATTGAGGGATAACTAGGGATAATCAGCGAAATTGAACGATTTTTGAGATTTTCTAGGGATTTCAGGCCTTTGACATTATAAAATTGAAATGTTGATAAAATAATACATTATGGCTGTATTTCAACAACGTTAAGGACCTATTTTGGCTAATTTTGCAAGGTACTGATAACACATTGATTACACTACTTTTTCCCTAGGTTTTGGTAACAAATCGATTGTAGCATAGATGAAAGATACTCCCCAAGGAGAATGTTTTATCTATGGTTGTAGGTAGTGGTATGGTAGTGACGTAGTGTTTTAAAGTCGGGACACTCACGGGGAAGAGTAACAAACAGCCAACACTGCAGGAAACAAGCGAAGTTGGAGTTGGTCGGTGGAATGGAATGGTGGATCTAGATTACTGTATTTGTTTCTTAGTAGCCCTGTGCCCTGTGTCAATGTCGAATGTTAGTTTTCGTTTTGATTTTGTTTTCCGGTGATTTCTGTGATGTTCTTTGGTTAAGCCCCCCACACACTACCAGACCAGACCTCCAGACCAGACCGTCTGGCTGCAACCAGACCGTCTTGGACGGCTCTACACACTCCCAGACCAGACGGTCTAAAATTCTTAATTGAGAGACCATGGTGAGAACTCCAACAAATGGATGAAGACTGTCACGATGGTCGGCCGTCTGACAGACAGCACTACACACTCACAGACCAGACAAAAATAGTGGTTGGAGAACCTCAGACCGTCTGTGGTCTGAGGGTTCAACCATCAGACACGCAGACGGTCTTACTGCTTACTGCTTCCTGCTGACTGCTGTTCTTCTCCTCCACAGTCATCAAAATTGGGGGAGGCGTCATCTTTTTCTTATATTATTTGGCTTGGTCTGGTCTGGAGGTCTGGTCTGGTAGTGTGTGGGGGGCTTCAGTAAGTAACTTGGTGTAACCTTTTCACCAAGGCATGGTGGCCATGTTTGAAAAAGACTATTAAGTTTGAAATTTTGACACTTTAATAATATTTTTGAAACAATTGTATACCAATTAATCTTGTTTTGTACCACATAGACAGTTTTTAATCACGGCTACCTTTAATTCCAGGCCGGAGGCCGCGGCCTTCGAAGTGGAAACGTTGCAAGTATAGTGTTGTAAAAGGTGTTTGTTTGGAGAACGCTAAGCTAATGATATTTATGTATTTTTTTAAGAATACGAAAGCTTGGTTTCTGAGCTATGAAAATGTTGACTCCACATTGAATGTACAGAAATAGATTTTCAATTTATATTGTTTTGGTTTTCGATTCTATATTATGTTTTATTTCCATGTTAACTTATGGGACGTCTTGCGCTAAACAATGCCTACTACGGTACTTGCAACGTTGCCAATTCTACCAGGCCGCGGCCTGCCTGGAGTTAAAAATGGCCGTTGTTTTAATGGTACAAAAATGTTTTTTTATATAGTATTACTTTATAAATAATATGGGATATTGAAGAATAATATCACCAGTTACCATATTTTAGGTGGCTATACATGATATCCATTGGTATTGCTATTGCTGCAAAAATAATAAATTATCTAGATTTGATATAAAGGGATAATTGGAGGGATTATTAGAACACAGACTAGGGATAACTAGGGATTTTTTGACGTTGGCCCAGGGATATTTTTTTCTTGCGGATGGAAACACTGGCTTCAGCTTGGTTTAGGTTAGGTTAGGAAATCGGCTAAATATAATTCATAGTGTAGAGTTTGTCACAAGGAGTTGTTGTCTCTTGTGAAACTCATACGACATTATTTCTGAAATGGCTAGATTGAATGTGCATTTTATCGTAGGATGCACGTTAGTTTTCTTTGTTGTATTAGCGAAAAAGCCATCAGAAAAACCATCATGGGCCAAGAAAGATATTCGGGATTTTACTGATGCTGATATGGAACGACTTCTGGACCAGTGGGAGGTTAGAATCTACAGGATGTAAACTTGTTTAAAAATCAGTTTAGTAACTTGCAGTTTTGGCAGGCCTACCTTTCATATTTTATTCAGGAGACTTTTGATGAGTAGTGATAGTCCTTTAGTCGGTGGTGATATATAAGGATTTTACAGATTTAGTAGTATGGCATAAAATATCGTGTACGTATCCTCGCTCGTCCAAAATGTGTTTAACTTACCGGACTCGTATGGTAACCCCATAGTGACCACACTCGTCCGGTAAACACCTATTTTCAGGACTAGTAACGTAATACCGTACCTATACTATTACACCGCATACACTGTTTTAACAGACTTCCCACGCAAGGATTTAGTCCAGTCAACAGCTGTTTGCCGCCACCTTAATCAAATGGTGTTTCATTACGTACTCTCAGTCCCGCCTTTATAAACGGGTAGACTGGGCATATGCCCAGGGGCGCCTGTGGTCTGGCAGCGCCCGCCAGATGCCCCCCAACAACCTCCTGCCCACGCTATAAAAAAAGGGGGGCGCTGCTTTTGGGTTTGCCCAGGGTTCCACTGACCCTTAATGCGGCCCTGCGTTGTGAGTTTTTACTGGACACCAACCAGCTGATTATATTTGGCAATGAGTGGCTATAAACAAACACATAACCTTATGAGTAGTGATTCTGGTAAGTCTTTTTGTCGGGGGGAAAAAGGATTTGTACAGATTTTTATTGTTAAGTTATCTTAGACTAGTATTGCGTAAAATATTGAACGTCACTCGTCCAAAATGTATTTACCGGACTTGTTTGGTAACCCTGCACTCCACTTTGTCTCGCATGGGAACGACCACACTCGTCCGGTAAACACCTATTTTCAGGCTATTAACATAATACTAACACTATTATAGATTTAAAGTAAAAGGGGGGGATGCTTTCAAAAGTTAGCTATATTAGAGAGCAACAACCCTGATTTGCCCGGTTGTCTCAGTGAGCATGATGGCAGTGGGTCATCATTGATCCTTGCCATCCCTACTGTACATTCATAATACCGCTGATTGTAGATGACTGCCCTGCATTTTTTAAGCTGCCCGACAAGTGAAAAAATGAAAGCGCCCTCTGATTCTTACACTGTTGGTAGACAATAAGATGACAATATGTAACCTAATAAATATAGTTTAGGCCTAACTGATGGGTTCCTATAAACTTAGCCTATCTTATGTTGTATTTAATTACTAGACCTAACTTATGGTGGTTGGTTGGCAAGACCCTTTAAAAAATTATGAAAATGGTGGGTAAGTAAGCTACTTAAGTTACCTATGTTATCAATTAGTTAGCCTAAAGTGTAAAGTTTAGGGCAAACTGATAATTGGTGAGGCGAGTTGCTGTCTCCAAAATAGCAAATCTCAAACTAGGTGTAAGCAAGAAAAGTCTCCTTGGCAGTGTCAATTCACCAGTAATACCTCTGTTTTACTTTACCCGTTATTACTAGGCTATCAGTTATTTCTGAGAGTGTCATTTAATGTGACAAACTTCCGACTTATCACATGGCATTTTGTCAATTTGTTATTTAAAATCTGATTACTTAGTGCTATGGTACTTTTCATTTGCAGGAAGATGAAGAGCCATTGGAAGCAGACGAGTTACCTGAACATCTTAGACCTCAACCCAACTTGGACTTATCTAAGGTTGATTGATCTATTTTCTTAGCCTTATGTAACAGACTCATAGGATTGCTATTTTGTATCATGTGATAGTCCATAATCTGTATTTTATTTTTAATTGGGCTTAATTTGTTTCTAGTATCAATGAAAACCACATAGGTTTAAATGTTGCTTAACAAATCTGAGGTTCCTACTCATCATAAAATTGTGTAATAATTTATTTGTGGATCATTTGCCTAATCGCCTTGCGACGCTCTAACCGCACTGGAAAAATATTAAAAGTGCAGCAGTCGCAACCGTTTGCCGGGGATAGCTCAGCCTACAATGGCTGGGTAAAGTTCCAGGGTCTGCGACAAGGTCAGGGAAACCACTAGGCCAAAAGCCGGGTCTAACCGGTATAGGACTGGGTCATACACGGGCACTGTGAACAAGTCAAAAACAAGTCACCAAAACAAACGTGCAATAATCACTACCAGGCCTACGCCGATTCTCCACACTCCTAGGGGGTCGTTGCTGACTGCGCAACTCGGGCTTCGTCCTAACTATCCAATAGTTAAGCCCAGAGTGCCTAAAACACGGTGAGTTACACGACGACTTGCCAATAAAAACCACAACGCGTGTTATCGCCAGGCGGGGTCTACTAGGCCACTATAATCCAATACACAACTCTATTGCCCAATCTAACAATCAAACAGTTCACTCAATAATAATACCAGATAACAGTACAAGTGCACTATAGGTAGAGTGACTACACCACTAGTAGCTGGTCTCAATAAATACCAAGCCAAACAAGCAAAGCTAAATGGCAATTGCACTACTATTAAATTATTGAGCTACTTAGTAGCAGATAAATAAATATTAAATACGTTCCAAACACTAGATAAATATATTATCTGATAGCCGGTACTCCGCTATCCAAGCTACCAAGATAACGTGTTGGATTACCAAACAAGGTGTTCAGGTTAAATTAAAATAATCAAATGAATAAACAATAACAACCCTACTACTGCTACTGCTACTACCAACTTTATGTTACTTAGCTGGGCTTCTGTTAATAGGCTAATAATAATAGCTACTAGCCTACTGGCCTCGTGCTTCCAACTACGCACGCTAAATCGTGCAGCCTAGGTTTGTCGGGCCTCAGAGTTATTAGTAATATAACTAACTCTAGGTACAACGCAAAATAATATCTACTACAGTCAATTAAATTATATTATTTGCGCTCTAGCACCTGCCCAGAACCGTCAGGAATACACTTTAATATTATTCCTGACTAATATAAATCCTAACTACCGTCAGGCTTTGACCAGCTTGGTTACAACTCTAACTCTCGCAAATAAATCAGATAATAATATTATCAAACTAATAATATCGGCTCCTTAACCAAAATCAAAAGAATGTCGTCCACTCACCAGTAGTGGGTCTTAATACCCAACTCGACACCGACACGTCCACCAGTCTCACTCAACACCAACCACGACGACACCGATGTCACCCAAATCACTGGACGTCTCACTAGACACACGCTCGCTCTTCACTGCACGGGATCCACGACTAGAAAAGTCCGTCCTAGGCTATCCTGAACATCTAGGATATCCCAGGCTTATCGGCACTGATAAGCCGGGTCAAAGGGCGCTCGCTAGCTTTGCCGCCGCCGCTAGCTCACCTCAACAATCGGTGCGCGGCCAAATAGCAAAAATATACCCCCCTAGGGAAAATAACTCGTTACAGCCTATTCATTAAACATTGCAATATGTTGTTTTATAGTGGACATTTTTCAATATCTAAGGGAATCATCCTTTTTTTATTGCTAATGTTGGTTTTTTGAAGATTGTAGGTCAAATCATTATTCATTGGAAGGATTTTACTCAGACATCCACGTCATTAACATTTCAGCGTTTGATTTGAAAAAACAATTAGGATATTATTTAAACAACAATCATCAAATACATTCCACTTACTTATAAAAAGACAATTCTCAAGTGAGCATATTAACCTTTTAACACGTTCGCTGCTGACCGCTAGATGCCGGGACGGCGCCAGGAGCTGAACTAACGCTTGTCGCTGCATAAACATTGCTGCCGACACACTGAATTACAGTAAAAACAACAGTAGTTATACTGGATGGCAATGTTCTGCAATAAAACTGGCTTTGGACATAGTACCAAGCGATTCTGATAGATAGTAGCATGACCCAGGTTGCAGTCGGTAAAGTAGTGTCGCTATCCTTTCTAGTGTCTAGACCTTTCTAAAGCGTTTGATAGTGTAAAACATAGTAAATTACTAGAAAAACTTAAAATAATTGGAATATCAAAAAGAGCTCTTAATTGGTTTTCTTCCTATTTGACAAATAGATCTCAATTCGTGGAAATTACCCATTTGACAAATCATAATAGAATTATCAAATCATCATCAACTTATCAACCAATTAAATTTGGGGTGCCACAAGGTTCAATTTTGGGGCCTTTGCTATTTTTGTGTTACCTTAAGGGCATGGAAGATACTTTAACCTACAAGCAAAATTCTAAATTATGTCTTTACGCTGATGATTCTAATTTGATTGTATCATCTAACTCTCCAGAAGAAGCTGAAATTCTTACATATGTAGAATTAGAGAATATTGGGAACTATTTCTACAATCATAACTTATTATTAAATTCACAAAAAACTAAATTTATAAATTTCAGAACAGCACAGAACAGAATTACAAAAGATCCAACAATAACTTACAACTCAAATAATATTCAAAAGGAACATCAAATCAATTTTCTGGGATTAACAATAGATGAAAATTTGAATTGGGATAAGCACACACAGAAAGTTTTAACCAAAACTAACTCTGGAATGTTCGCATTATCAAAAATGTCCTTTTATTGTAATTTGAAAACCCTAAAAAGTATATATTTTGCACACATTCACTCCCATATTTCATTCGGTTTAGCATTATATGGGTCAACAAAAATATTAAATATGGATAGTATTCTGAAGCGACAAAAAGAAGCTATCAGAATTATGCTTAAGCTTAAACGAGATGATTCGGCAAAAGAACATTTTAAGAAATTACAAATTTTTACAGTTTATGGGCAATATATTTATGAAACAATTCTTATCGCAAAAAAAAATGAATCTGAGCAAGTAATAAATTCAGTGCATTCTTATAATTTTAGGAGGAGAAGGGAGTTTGTCCAGCCTCACAAATTAAAATTTTTGAAAAAAAACCCTCATTTTTTATGCTGGTAATGATTTTCTAAAATTTGTCCCTGAATTCATAAAAAAAGAAACGAACCTATCTAAATTCAAGAAAATTCTAAAGGAGCATTTAATAAATCTAGCATTATATTCTTTTGATGAATTTTCCACCTCCCATAAATAGAAATAGTATTTTTATTTTAAGTATTCTGACACTATTCACTGTACCACCAATGTACATGATTTACGAATAAAGATGTTTGAATATGAATATGAATATCTAGCAGAAAAGAGGTGGGGACAAAGCCCTGTTCTAAACGACCCTGGTGGGGATTTTGGGAAACTATATTTTTATTGTCAGAAAAGTACTTCCCCACGAGCTGCAAAGAAATATAGGACGCTCGTGACGAGCTGGCTGATCCATGGAAACGTTAAACAACAATGACACAGCGTTGTATATGTACAACGCTAGCTCCTGGCGCCGGGTAGTCACGTTGTAAAAATACAACGCCAGCAGCGAGCGTGTTAAGATAAAATAGCAAGATCCAATTGATGTAGGCTATATTATTTAAATTTGAACTCATAGGCTACATAATTTTTATTTTACGTTTACCTAGGCTATTCCAAACAATATTTAGCCTACGATGTAGGCCTATGCATGCTTATAACCAACATAGTTGATTTGATTTGATAATATTGCTTAATTTTATGGGCGTTCTTGATGGAAAAAAATTTTAATATAATTATTATTTGTTATTGTTACAGTAAATAACAACCAACAGTTTAGTATAATCCCAGGAAATTTTCATAAATAAAATTGTCTTTAAAAAATAAACTTTGAATTGTAAGTGCCTACTAATGATCTATTTGTTTTGGTGAAGGTGATGGATGCCGGTAACCCAGAAAATATCTTGAAGATGACAAAGAAGGGCAAGACATTGATGACGTTTGTATCAGTGTTGGGGAATCCAACGAGGGAAGAAAGTGAAGAAATCACCAAACTATGGCAGGGAAGTCTCTGGAACAGTCATATTCAGGCTGAACGGTTCGTAGAAAATCAAATCAAAATGAGCTTTGTAAAAACATGTATTGCTCATGTATTGTATTCATGTGTGTGTTGATTATTTTACCCAGTTTCAAGAACTTTTAAATCAAGTTACCTTTTATTTTGTAGAAATGCCTTTAGTTCTTGAAGTTCAAAGTTCAAAGTTCTAAGCTAGATTACTAATGCACATTTCGCCACAAGTTGTGGCATCTTCAGAGTTACACTAAACTACATCACTAATGTATAAAAAGTTTGTGAGTCACTGTACAGTTTATATATCACTTCACTGAGGATACTTGCACTCGCGGCACAGTAGCGGATGGCGCGAGTTGAAAGCGTGTTAGGCTTACTTCCAGCACATCTTAGACAATTAGACTGGTATTGTCAGGGGTTGCCTATTTTCTGCGATGTTGCCATATCGGTCAGATTTATTTTGTATTTCATGTATGGTTTTATAGATGATGGAGTGTTAAAGTCTTCTTTTACATTAAGCAGGCTATCTGGTCCAGATTCAATTATATGTTTAAACATTTGGCAGTTTTCCTGTATTTTGGCAGTGATTTTAGACTGAGTTTGTTTTAAAACTTTAAGGTAATTGGGGAATGATATTGAGTGGGTGGGGGTTTGTTTGAGGTGTTTTGCTACTATTGAAAAGGGGTTTTTATACGCTGTTTGTGTAGCCAATGTATTGTTTGGTACACGGGGGATTGCAGGTTATTTTGTATACTCTTCTGTCCTTTTCTATTAGGCGGGCCTCTGTACTTCTTTCATTGTTGGATAATGGTATAGGAGTGTTCTTGACTTGAGAAGAGAATAGGCAGCGTCGCAGACACAACAATTCCGGGTACTCATGTCCGAGTCAGTCCGCACCCCTGACAATGTCAGTGACTCACAAACTTTTATATTAGTGATGTAGTTTAGTGTAAATATGAAGATGCCACAACTTGTGGCAAAAATGTGCATTAGTGATCCAACGAAATTAGAACTTCAAGAGCTACAAGGCAGTCCCACAAAATAAAAGGTAACTTAATGTATAGAATAGGCTAATTCTAAAATTAAATCTTTGAATACTCTCCTAAGTCGAGTACACGCCTGCGCTCGTGTAAAAAGCTTTTACCTGCAGAAAAGATTAGTTTTGTAATAACTGTTCACTGTAACTGATATCACAAATTGTTTGGTAAAACTTGAAAATTAAAATTAAATGCATTATTATAAAATTCTACAAATAGGAGTACCAAAAGCTAACATTGTTCCTTGTCTATGATTTTTTCTATGAACAAATTAAAACAGATCTATGAAACATGGGTTTTACGGTACCGGTCCAGTCAATATTGCTGCTCATTGTAATTTAAATAGTTATTTGTAGTCTCACAAACTGCTATAGTTTGCTTTGAGTCCTACTCCCCCTGTTCTATTCAGTCCCCTTTTGAAATATATGTTATCAAGAAACTACTCAAGAGTCCTTGGAGCCTATCCATGCTAACTTAATAAACTATTACAAAACTACAAACAGAATTTCTGATTTCATTGTGCCCTAGAAATTTCAATTCCAATCACTTTTGGCAATTGAAGAAAATATTTTGGGATGGGAAATAATCCTTCAGCGGCAGTTTGAAATCAACATTGCTAATGGCAAACAAATCCAAGATGGCCGTTGGTCTCCAAGGACTCCCTAGGAGCCTAGCCGTGTTCACTCTTGAAGAACTACAAACAAAATTTCTTATTTCATAACGCCTTAGATATATAAACAATTACAATCACTTTGGTATTTTAATGAATATTTTGGGATGGTACATCACTTTTGAACTGCTGTTTGAAATTAACATTGCTCTTATTGAGGGCAAATCCAATATGGCCATTAGCCTCCAAGAACTCTTAAAATATTAAGTCACTCGAGTTAAGTTAGTATATCACTCGATCAACATTTGAACCATACTTCTTCAGGATTTTTTCTCACCTCTATTTCTTTGCAGATACATGATTGATGACGACAGAGCTATTTTCATGTTCAAAGACGGATCTTTGGCTTGGGACGCCAAGGATTTCCTTGTCGAACAAGATAGGTGCAAAGAAGTCATGATTGAAAACAAGTCATACTATGGAAAAAACTACAAACCCCCGGTTAGTATGAGTGATAAGCATTTAAAAAAGGTTTTTAAGTTTGTCAGGATATATGTATTTAAGATACATTTAAAAATCCAAGTGTTTGCCTGAGTTTTAACTTTAGTTCAATCTTTGTTAGGACTACAATATGTACCAAATTTAAGTTTCATATTCATCCAAAGTAAAAATAATACATAAAGATACTTTTTCAAACTTTGGAAATGTGAAAAGATTTTAATGCATCGTAATATTAATCAGGGCCGCCCCGGGCCCCGTAGGTAGGAGTGCGCTGTGGCAGGTAAACATATTTGAAGCAAAAATTTGACAATAAACAATTTAACTGTTAACTTTACTTACACAATAATTGGGTTTTTGATTTAAAACCATGTAGGCCTATCAATACATTTAGGGGATTAAAATGGTATAAGATTACCTGTTTCCGTCTATGATCCTAAATTTGTAGTAATGAGCTACCGGTTTCGAGGTTATAACCTCATCATCAGGCTCTTGTCACTCTTGCGAGGTCGTCAAGTTTTACTAATACACAAAACACTGATATTTAAATAAATAAAATACAAGACATTGACGGATGAATACGATTTAACATAAAATTCGGGAACTAGTTCCACACACGACGCGGCACGGGCAAACGTTTTTGGGCTCAAGGCAGCAATGTCGTGGGTTCGGATCCTGGTCACTGCCGCCAACATTTTATCAGTACAGATCACCTTTGTATTGTACCGGCTCACCCCATGCATTGCTGGATAAGTTCGACGCACAGATCTGTAGTCTATGTTGGGTGAAAAAAATACTGATAAGTTCTTAAGTTTTTTAAACAATGTAAATTGGGATGCCGAGTTACCATTTGCCGAATCAGGCTACTTTGACAAGTTTATGGACATTTTTATTGATGGTATGAGGATATGCTTTCCTTATAAAACCATAAATAAGAAAAATCCAAATGTATCAGTGTAAATTGGTTTAGTCGTGAACTCCTTGAAATGAAGAAAGAAGTTGACAGCTTACACAGCAAGTTGCAGTGGGCACTACGATACAACTCATATGTAGAGGAAATGAAGAATAGATATTCCGTAGCCAAATCAAGGTATAAAAAAGCTCTTCATCTAGCCAAAATTGAGGCTAACGGCAAACTCATCGATGCAGCTCCAAATAAAGTGAAGAAGGCATGGGAACTCATAAATGCACAACGGCAGGTGTCTGGACGTCAAGATGACTGCTCACTAATGGTGGGGAACTTCAACTCCTATTTCACCTCTTCGGTGACTGACATCACCAACCAAGTCGGCCGCTCCCTAGCTACTGCCATGGATCTGGGAATTAATTCAAACGGTTTGTCACTTAACAATAATAAAACTCAAAGTTTGCTTTTCTCTTTTTGTAAAGTTACCCCCAGCTTTGAACACTGTACCATGGGCCATGCAAAACTTTTAGGCATTGTTCTAGACTCAACTTTAAACTGGAACCCACATATCCAATCTGTCTGTACTAGGTTAAATAGGGTAATTTGCTTGTTGAGGCATTTACGAAACTTGTTACCTAAACACTTTCTCAGGGGTGCCTACTTTGCTTTTATCACAGTATTTTGATGTATGGTATTAGCCTGTGTTTTAGTTTTAGTAGTTTGACTCGAGATCAAATCGAATCTACACCAAGTAAAATACTGTGCTGAACCAATGGTGGTAACTAGGCCAGAAGTGTTGCCTCCTGTGTGTGGATCTCTACAGAGCTACAAACCAAACCTATGGTCTGATTTGAAGGGTCCACACAGACCTGGAAGGTCAGGGAAACAGGTCTAGGGTAAGGGAAGGTCAGGGAAAGTTAAAAAAAAGGCCGCAAGTCAGGGGAAATTTTGAAAATAGTGTGTAAAGTCAGGGAAATTTGTTAAAACTTGTATAGATCATTTCAATTTTTTGGATGATTTGTCATGTTAAAATGTGTTGCTGCAGAGATTACTTAATTCTGAAAATTCGGTGGTCATGTGTCAATTTTTATTAAATTTTTTTGTTTTATTTAGAGCTAAGTATTGAGAATTTGATTTCTTATGTTTTACTGTATTAATAAATACCCCCTGGGGCCCGCTGCAGAAAACCTGCAGACTAAGCAAATCTCAATCCGTCTGATTGTATTTTTAATTTTTACTAAAATATTTCCTTGAACAAGACATTTTTATTCCCCATTTAATATATCATTAGATTTAACAAGTACATAGGTTTGCTGCTACAGTGAAGGTAAAAAAGTGTTATTTGACCAAATTTTTAATAGTATAGGATGATATAAATAAATTTGATTAACATAGATCCATAAACAAGCAAACTACAACAGTTTCTTTTTCTCCATAAAAATAACATGAGAATTTTAAAAGTATTTTTTTTTAATTTTCTACGTTTTAACCATTACTTTTTAAAATTCATTATGAAGTTGTTTCTAAAATGTTCCTACTATTCTTTTCTGATTTTTTCAACGTTTCTTGTGTTTGAAAATATACAAGAGTTCTACACAGGAATATTAGTACAAGCACAAGCAGTGTATTTTCAAACACAGATAAACAACACAATTAAATGTAAATGTAGGAGCCTAATTAGCAAAGTTTTAAGTAGTAAGTAGCAAAGTAGGAGCTTATGTAAGAGTTACTTTCTATTTCGCCCTAGAGCAGTTAAGATTAAACATAGTGGCAAACAAAGGAATATTAGTTCCCAGCAAAGTTTCTCCTTTGCCTCAGTGGGTTTCAGATTGTAACTATAGTCGTTGTGTTGCATGTAAAATAAATGTTTGTTTACGGTATGGTAAGTATATTTATCACAGTCTAGTTTTTCTTGTTGATACTGTAAATCTATTTAACTCTATAATGAGGAAGATTAAAGAAAATATTTGTTATATAATACTTACTAGTGTTGATGTTTTGCACAACAACAAATTTGTAGTTATAAATAGTGAGTATTTATTATGTCTTATCATAAACTTTGTATGAATGTGATTATTATCAACAAACTTGCCCTAAATATTAAGGAATTGATGAGGATGAAAACTTTAGATTGTAATTTAATTTGGTAGTTTTACCACCAACTAAAAAGGCTGTTTATTTTTTTCAAATCATACTTTTAAATTATTTTGAAATATTTAGTTAGCTTTCAATCATTATTGTAATTCTGTTGTTATTTCCTCAATGCATTGAAAAAAAAGAAAAATTATCGCCTGTTATTTTATATTAAGTTTAATTGTTTAAAATTGGGTGTACTTTTTCTATAATCTACTCCTAGTCTTTCTCTACATGCGATGAGTTAAAAATTGCTTATAAATCGTAAAGAAAATGATAACAAATTGCTTGTTAAAGCGAGTTAGCTTCTGTTTTGGCCAAAAGCCAGCTAAGACCTGGCAAACTACTTCTCATTGTTTCTATGTATTTCTGACTCTTCATGAACACATGTAACATGTCCCTGCTAATTACGGTATGTTTTCTTCATATTGTTGAGTATTCAACATGATTTGTGTTTAATTAAAATATGATATGCCTATCTACTATATTTCTTTACTACATGTGTTGGTATATATAAAGTAACATCTATTTTTCATTGTCTCTTGTCTTTATGGAGTTTTCAAAATGACAGCAGTTTTTGTTGGATAATAGTCTACCACTAGTTTAGCTATACATTTTGATAGTTTTATTTAAATTTGACCCACACCAAATAAAAATTAAAAGTATTGCTAGTTAACAGATGCATTGATTTTTTTATGTTTAGTCGTTTAGCTTATTTTTAAATTCCTCTTTTGTTTTACTAATAAATGCATATTTAGTTTATTTCTAACGATTACATTTTTTTACATCTTATGCTAGTAAACATTGTGTACCGGTATGCAATATGTAGGAATAGGTGCGAATGTATAGCAGTTTACGCAACGATCGCGTAAAGATAGTGTTAACGACACGGCTCGTGCCTTCAAAACTTCTACAAGTGTTGTTAACAATATTTACACGAGTTTCTTAGTGTTTTAATTACTGAAATCATTACTCATAACTTCTAAGAGAGGTTATGTTTTCGTTTATAACCTCTTATTGACTCTGACAGTGATGCAACAAAACGTTGTACCGAACACTAATTGCACCCCTCAACAATTAAATTGGCCTGAACAGTTGATTAGTTTAAGTTTGAATCATTGCAATTTTACTTCTTCCCTCTCAATCCTTCAACCTCATTGGTCCGTTACCCATGTTGTTATGAGTAAAACTATGCTCTTATGAAAGTAAACAATGATGTTAAGTGAATCTTTTCAATTCTAAGAACTGAACTGAAACGGCTACTTAAAAAAACAGTCGTAGGTGAACTTGTTTTACATTCGTTTTTTTTTTTTTTACTTATCGTGATAGAAAATTTGTGCAATAGAACCCCAAATAACATAAACTTACAATCACCAAAAGTGAACTCCAAACCAAGGGTTCAAGTCATGTTCTATCGGAAAACAATGATGAAAATGTTTGTCTGCTTTCAGGGTGAATCAACTGATGCACCTCCAACTAAGAAGAGTAAATCAAACCAGAAAAGCAAGGAGGAACTATAACTGTTTTCTCCATGGGGAAGTTGTACTGGCTGTACATAGCAACGTTCCTGGACCTACTGGCCACCAGTCTACTCGTACCCTTCCTGCCGTTGCATCTTGCCTCCTACGGCCTGCCCAGGCTAGTGGTCGGGGTGATTACGTCTGTATACCCTTCAGTGCAGTTGTTTTCTAGCCCCGCTATAGGCTTTTATTCACAGAAATACGGACAGAAATGTACTCTTATCACGTCACTTCTCCTGTGCTCACTGGCATATTACTCTATAGCGACCACTTCGTCTGTTTTAGTAATTTTCATCTGCAGAGTAATTCTTGGTCTCGCTAAACACACACAGACAATTTGTAAAGCGGCTTTTTTACTGCACAATGATATTTTAAATAAAAACGTAGGGTTTGGGGGATTGAGTGCAGCTGAAGCCTTGGGATTCATGTTAGGTCCAGTGATCGGGGGTCACTTTATAGGGAGGGAAGATGGTTTTCGATACTTGTGTAAAATGACTGCGACTTTATTTGTTTTTAATTCCCTTATAGTGTATTTAGTTCTTCCAAAGGAAAATCGGGTGGTACATGATAGCTCAAAGACAAGTGAAAATGTAGTAAAAGTGTATCAAGTGAAAGATTGTGAAAATTTTCTTACTTTTTGGGATACATTATTGCTAAAACTAATCCTGTGTTTTTCACTGTCATTGTTCTACACAAATTATCATGTTATGGTTGTCGAATATCTAATGATGCCTCATAGTATGGTGGGGTATACCAATTCATTCCAAGGGCTTATTTGTATTATTACTGGTTTATTTGCTAGTAAAATATCAGATCTGTATTTGTGTAGGGAATATTATTTTAAGTTAAGTATCTGTTTTTTACTACTATCCAGCTCATTTTTTCTCATCGATTTTGTTTCAGAATGTGTGACCTTTGTTATTAGTTTGATTCCTCTAAGCTGTAGCTCGAGTTTATTGAGAATTTATCTTACTGAAGCTTTACTAAGCCATCCCAATTTAAATAATAGAGCTTCTATTATAGGTTTAGAAAATTCAATTGCTACAATTGCAAGTTTAGCTAGTCCTTTTGTTTTTGAATTTTTCTCTTACTTGAGTGCAACATTATCAATAACTTACTTAGCGTTCTTGATCTCTGGCTTTGGGTCAATGTTATCCTTAATTCTTTTTCTGACGAAAGGAAAAGAAATATATCCAACCAAAGTTGTCACCGGAATTAAAACTGATTAACACCCTAATCGTTTTTAAATTAAATATACTCACCATATAATGTAGAACTTTTTACTTTGATCATGAACTATTGACTATAAAATAATCTACTCAAGCCATTCCTTTTTATTATCGTACACTCTTGCATGTTTTCTTATAAAAGTTTGTTGCATTCCCAGATTTTGTTTCTTTAATACAAAATATATGTGATCTGAAAACTGAATGTATTTACACTGTGAGTTTAAAAATCTAACTCTTTTCGAGAAAATTTTCTCCACTACTTTGTTTTTCTATGTTACTTAAATTTTTGCCCTATGGTATGACTGTTGAGATCAATGAAAGGCAGATGCTCATGGTCAATTCATGAAGGTTGAGATCAATGAAAGGCAGATGCTCATGGTCAATTCATGAAGATTTATGTGATATTTATATAATTATTGTACATAAGATTCTCTTTTAACGTTGTTTATTAAACAAGGTTTTTTACATCATGTCATTTGACTAAACTTATTCCTATACTCATTCAGAAAAACAATATACAATAGCTTTTAGTTTTGAGTATTGGGTAATAGAATCCCTCATATTCGGCCTCAGCTTTACCAGTCCCTCTATTTCCAACAAATACCCTCGCTGCAGCAAACCTACAGCCTTATGACAATTCCCATTCGCCTAATTTAACCCAAATTAAAATATCTCCTTTAAAATGTCACATGTATTCCCTATTTGGATAAAATTAAGTTTAATGATTACAGTACTTAAATTTGATGCTACAGATAAGGATGCAATTTTTTCATAGCTTGAATAAATAAATTTTCCAAATTAGATCAAAATATGTTCACAAACAAGCAAACTACAACAATTTTTTTTTTTTAATTTACAGTTTTTTGGAATATATCTGTAACCACAAAGCGCATCAACATGGCATATTAAATTGTTTTATGGGTAAAAAATGAGAAAGGTCAATTTTTACCCCATGAAACACGTTCCAAGAGTTGATGGTTCAATAACTCTTGAAATAAGAGTAGGTTCACACGTTTGTACAAAATATCACTAAAATTTGATAATTTGTGCTCGAGTGGATATATGAATTCACTTATGAGTTAGAACAGATGGTGTTTTTAGCCTCTGGGGACATTGAAATAAAAAAGTAAAGCATTTGGGAGCTAGTATAACCATGAGACCTACAGTAATAATAGCTTATTCCCTATGTGAGAAATTGGCTAAATACTGTATTCCCTATAGGGTAAAAGTGTATTTCTGACTGCTAACAACAGGAAGTCAACGAGGATGTCTTCAGTGGTGGCTAGTCCATGTGGACTCTGTGGTGGAGTCCTTCCATCTTCAAGACAAAGGTAAAAATAACAATAATTAATTAATTAACATAAATATGATTCATATTCCTGCATTTGAATGTACTTAAACAACATTAGCAGAGTCAACGTTTTAGGACGTGTGACAATAGACAACAAATTTGAATAGAAAGTAAAGAATGAGATTTTTTCCAAAACCGCTTCACTGTCAAGATATCTGCCATTTTGTATTTTTAATATCCTTTTTACGTTCTAAAGTGGTTACTCTACTTACAAGACTTTCATACCAAAAGTGTTATGGAGGTATTCTAAACTCCCCAGACCACCTGGTAGGATGGTGTACTGATTGTGCCCCCCCCCCCCCCCCCCTAATCTATGATTCACGTGACGCCTCTGTTTCTAATGTTAATTAATGGTCCATTTCAGACCGGTGTAGCGACACCGAAGCTAAATAATATGCGTCCCCTTAGCCACTCTGTATTTTAGCCGTGTATACGCTCTGCCACAGAGAAATAGGATACAGAGGAAACATGCTTTTGGAACAACCATATGCTTTTAGCTCTGGAATGGTGGGGCGGAACTATACTAGTACCGAGCAAGGAAGGAAGAGCCTGAACAGCTATTGTTTACAACAGCAGGTAGTTTACGCAACGATTGTGTTAGGATGGTCTTAATGACACGAGTATTTGACAAGTGTCGTAAAAAGCTAATTACCTATGACAGTTTTTTAATTACTAAAAATCACTACACTACTCATAACTTCTAAGAGAGGTTATGTTTTCATTTATAACCTCTCATTGCCACTGACGAGACGTAGGAATTGGCTAACTCAGGAACTCGCTAACTCGGTCGCGTGTAGGAACTGGCTAACTCTGGAACTGGCTAGCCGTATCAGTCAGGAATTGGCTAACTCCGGAACCCGCTTACTCGATTTTGTCTCGCGGCAGAATTCGCTAACTCTGGAAGTCGCTAACCCGGCCGCGCCCACGCACGGAGCGTTGCCAACCTTGTACGACGAAATAATCGTATACTGCCGTATTTCAAAATGTCAGTGTCAATGAAGATACAGTAAATGTTATTGTTATTTGTTATCGATTCTACTTTTAACAGACAACTAGCCCAAAGTAATTCAAAGACAATAAAAAAATCATGGAAAGGTGTTTTTTTATTTAACTGTAATGGCCAATTAAATGTTTATGATTTTGTCTTAAATGTAAATGCCATCAGTATAAAAGAAAATAATTGAATATGAAAACTATTGAAAATTCAGTTTAATAGGTACTAAATAGTTAAACCTCTACGGAATTAAGCTAAAATACACACAAGTTCTCAAACACAGAAAACAAATTTAATCGTAATGTAGTAATAAACCAAAATTATTAATTAATACAGTCAGCAACCATCGTAACTTTCATAACTAATTCATAGGTTTAAAATTAAATGTTCGTCGTTGAATCGTCCAACGTGTACAAATATGACATAGACTAAGTTTCATATCAATTTATAGAATAGCTGTAGAGGCCTAAATCTATTCTAATAGTTTAAACCAAAGCATAGTAGGCCTACTAGTAAATAGTTACCTAATTCTAAAATGTGTTGAATTTTTTAGTAATATTGTTACATGTTTTTAAAACAGTTTGTAAATTGTACACCTAAGCATCACTAGTAAATAATAGGAGAGGATATAATATTCATATAATAAAACGTGACAGGTTTATTTTAATTCACGATTCTTAATCAACGACTTGGCGGAATTTCCTGATTTGAGTGTTGGGTTTCCTTTATATTGCTTTTACAATCAAAATAAACTATACCAAGCCATTGCTCAATTCCCCGTTCCCCGGTACTGAGCTACTCAATAGACAATAGCTTTGTTTTTGGATAAGATCAGGTAATTTTAGCTATGGCCACCATTCATATAAATGATAACAAACAAGAACGACTGGGTTCATTTAGAACCATAAAAACTCCAGACTTTTAAAAAGAAGGCCTACTGAAAGACGTAAAATTAATATTAATAAAAAAAAATTAAGAGGATGACCAGAGTTCTAACTAATAGCCTTTGATAACAGAAATTTACAAGTTGTATTTATGCATAGACAAATTTGTAATGCAATCCATGAATACATTAGGCTTCCCACTTTATAATGTATTGATCCATATTTATTAAAATTCAATAGCTCTATTTAAAAAAAAAACATTACCACTACAATGTATTTCTATAATGACGTTTAACGTGCAAATTTTATCATGAATTATGGTTCAATTTTACGATTCAAGGTTACAGGCCCAGTATATAAAATACGAACTTAAAAATTTTATTTGCAGAAGTTCACATAATGGTTTTTATTTGAATAAAAGAAACAAATGGTGGACTACGAAAATAGATATTTCATAACATGTAAAAGATCCAAATTAAATGTACAGTATTATCTTTTTGCATCCCAATAAGCTACTATTTAAGTAAGAAAACCACATACCCCCTTATATTAGTACATTTCTCATCCTTATGGATCAGCTGAAGACAGTTTTATTGTTAGATCTGTCCGGTGCACTGTCATTAGAGGTCGTGTTTTGTTTACAATTGTTTCTTGTTTTCAGTCATTTAAAACCTCGTTTAACCAAAGAAAACGTTCTAATCATAACTAATAACACGTCCCCTAGTTGTATAACCAAACAGTAAAGAACAAATCATAAAGTTAACAATAAAATAATAGAAACACAATTACGTCGACACTGGCGATCAGTGTCACCGGACATGAACTAGACACGAACAACGAGCTTTAAAGTTTACAATGGGATGCAAAGTTCACTTGTGTTGGTTAGTCTGTGATAAGACTATAATGCATTTTCTACCCTAATAATCATAAGAATAATATTAAACATACTTCTGAATATATATTTATTTAGTCGACTACGTTGATCTTAATCCTAATTATTCGTAGGATACGACATTATGGTGCCGATATAGGTACTACACTTTTGGCATCACTGGCTAAATATCTTCGTGCTTGGCTCCCATTGGACGGCCCGAGAGGCTTCTGATTGGGAGTTAGCGAGTTCCGCCGAGGGACCGAGTTAGCGACTTCCGTACGAGGACGGAATTCGCTAACCCGGCTCTAGATCAGGTTAGCGGGTTCCGGAGTTAGCCAATTCCGAAACCGAACAAGTTAGTGAGTTCCTCTCATCGACCAAATTTGAAGATAGGGCGTTTAACATGGGGTTAGCGAGTTCCAGAGTTAGCCAATTCCGCAGACCCCCACTGACAGGTCAATGAACCATACTGTTCATTAAATAGCAAATTTAAAACAGTTTTATACAGTAACTGCAAAAAATGTATTATTATAATGTCAGAAATTATGAAAAGTAGTTATAAAAAGACAGTAAAAATCACCTAAACTGTTTTTGTAATTTATGTTCTTTTGAGATGAGGACCCTCTAGACTATATGTTGGACACTTCCCAGTCCCAGTCGCTTGAACAAGACTTAGACTGAATATCGTACCACCATTTTATAAAATTTTTACACGGAGAATTACGGCTATACTCTAAACAAAACCTTCTTCGAACAGTTATTGCAGATTTACTTTCATGAAACCAAAGACTTTGCTTTTTATTGAACCCTAGTAAAATTGTTACTTTTAAGTCAGTTTAAGGTTTGATTCGCCAAATATCATACACAGCTGGTGTAGAAAGGTCCATTGTTGGTTTTGCCATGCTTAATGCCATGCTATCCATGCTGACTATGCCACAACACGAGTCATTGAGGAAAAAAAACTTACACACACTGTTTGAGTGATTTTTGAACATTTTTTATAACCACTTTTTATAATTATTGACATTCATGTAATTATTGTTTTGCAGTTACTGTACAAAACTATTTTAAATTTGCCATTTAATAAAACAATTCCCAAGTTTCTAAGTTGCTTGGTTATTGGTTTATGTAATCTTAAAATGTGTCCAATAATTTATGACCACCCTGTACATTTTAATGTAAAAGAACGAATATAAGTAATGAATGTAAAGTAAAGAATGTCGACGGAAATTTCAACGGCATGGCTAAAATGGTAAAATGTGGCAACATAAAAAACTACTTGCTACATGATATTTACAATGGGGCAGCCACCTGAAAGGTTCTTAAATAAAAAAATATTGCTCAGAGTTAGAGGAGCCAGAAGGGCCATATACAGATTGCCCAATGTAGGCTCCTTAAAAGCATCTGCACAGCGTCGCCCGTCGAAGCGCCAGTCGTAAGAACCTAACCAGCACCGCTAAGTTTTCAACTGTTTGATACAAATCCTAAGACTTCGTACTTTGTCGGGGTTGCCACCATAGTGGGAACAAACAATTAATGCAGAATTCATGGTTTTCATGGGCAGTTTAACAAAAATTCATGGTTGATGCGCTTATTTTTGCTGATTTTAGAAATTGACATTAAAGAGGCAGTTTCTTTGCGTGTTACTATTGAATAACCTTTCATACATGAAATCCAACTATTTTATTTAGAGTAGCTTATAAATATACACTCAAAACAAAGTTGAAAACAAAATGGGTCCAGCTATTTCATATGACACATTGGAGAAGAATTTTAAAATATCTATATATAAGTAAAGGTCTAATTCAGTCTTCACTGGAATAAAACAAAGATCTCGCACACCTGGCCAAAAAAGTCCTTTTTATCCCTCCACATGAATGTCATAAAATATCCTTTATGTTTACTGGTTTATCTTATTACACAAGGTACTAAGATATGATTGGTTTATATCTTTAGCCAAAAGCTAAAAAAATCAGGCGTCTGTTTTATTGCACACCCTGTTTCAAATTCCCCCCGAACGGAGGGGTTGGGGGTTTTATCGATTGTTATACCCCATTTAACATAGAACTAGAACATGACAGTATCGGTTAAAATATCGAATTGAAGCTGCAAGGGGACACCGAAACTGCCACGACGTTTTACGATCATGCTCCATACTGAAACTGCCACGGCAATTAGTGAGGATTACAAGGGTGTTTTTGAGAGGGGTAGAAACACTGAAACTGCCACGGCGGATTCCCCAGATAGACGGGGAGAAACGGGAGACTCATAATTCCCATTTCTGTCTTAACATTTTAATTTCTTTCGCAATAATACGTTGATTGGAAAAATAAGTGATTGATTTGCCCTTTAGTATTTATATTTTAGGAGTTATTTTTATTTCAATTTAAGTTTTTTGTGTTGCGACTGTTAGAGTATTTACTTTATAAGTATTTATTCCGTCTCTTGAGCCGTGGGTATGCAATGACAGCTACCAACGCAGGTAGAGACAGGGGATTATAAGGGTCCCTCAAGAATTCGGAGGTGGCGGGACAGATATGGGTTCGGAGCTCGCGGGAGCACACGGTAAAGTAATGGCATTCGTGTAATACAACAATATGTTAATCAACAATGTTACTATATCACTACGTAGACCGTCGTACTTAGGCTCAAATAATTAAAATATAATAATCCAGGGTTATTATATTAAACAATGTTAATTCTCTAAAACAAACTCTAATGTCTCTGCTAAACACCCGGGCGTTTATAGATGGATTAAATCAACTGCAGCTTTGACATTGCGATTTTCTCCTGATCCTCTATTAAATATAATAGTTACCTGCAGTAAAAATGAGATTTTAGAATAAAACAAATACTGTACTGTTATAATGGAACAAATACTGTGTACTGTGGTATTGACAACACAATTTCATAATAAAGTATGGAAAAAATAATAATATATGTTGGAAAAAATCGTTTTTAAAAAAATTAACTGATATATTGACACATACATAATTTTAACATAACCATCAAAACCAGTCAAAATGTTACAGAAAATTTAATCTATGTTTTAAAGTAGAACCGTGTCGAACAACGAGATTTGGACGAGTAAAGGACTTCCAGCCGCAAACCGGTGGGAAATCCCACTACATCCCTGTATTTATCTAGCAGTGGTCTCATATTGAGGGAATAACACTAAATTCAGGGGCGTAATCTCGCAGAAAAAAATAAAATTCTGTAGCAACAACAATACCTATTTAAAGACAGCTTTGGAGCTCGGTTTTTTTATCTACTCTACCACTTAATATATGGATTTTATGTTTTACCTTTCAGAGGTGTTATGTAGCTTATAATCTAAACATAAAAGTAAAAGACCTCAATCACTCACTCATTCATCACTAATTCTCCAACTTCCAGACTTGCTAAAAGGCTGAAATTTGGTATACTGATCTTTAGGCATTATAGGAAAACTTAGTAGTTTTTTTATAATGGTCTGACTTTTGGGCTATAACCAAGTGGTTCTTCAGTTTCCCATAACCTTGAGTACCCTAATATCTACTATGAGCAATGTCTATTTATCTGTCTGTCTGTAATATATATCTCGAATTCCAGCGAAAGGATTTTAACTAAATTTTGGAATTAGGGACTTATAGACCTAAAAACGTGATTGGCGACAGTCAATCCTCAGGAAAATTCGTATGTCACCACATAGCTCATTTGAAAATTTAACGTTGGGCTTATCCGGCTTATGGGTTACTAAGTAACTATTTTGGTTGAAGAAAATAACAAGAAAAAGGTAAACAATGGACTTGTAACATGTGTTCATAACAAGCCATACTTATAGTAGACTAACAAATTACAAAATACAGTACAAAGAGACACAACTCAGTTGACTCAAACAACTATTGGGCAAAGATTACACGATATGGGGAAATAGTCCTGATCTAATATTGATTATTTTACTTGGCTGTCTCCCACTTAATCCCTAAGTACTTTAGGCAAGTTATTGTTAGCAAAGTTTAATTTAGCATTGAAATAAATATTTTAAAATATTATATTTATTTGAACTAAATAAAACTAGAATAATTTAAATTTATGCGGCTATGAGTATAAGTTGGGAATCGTTTGTAAGAAACCCTAAAAAAGGCAATCTTCTACAAAATTATAAAATATTTACAAGAAAACTTTTGTCATACCGAACTGTTCCTATTACAGTTAATAATTCCATTAGGCTTTTAGGTGAGTCTTTTTAAGTCATCGAAAGTTATGACTTACTTACTTGTACACTTGTATACTTTAATTCTTCATCTTTGACAGAACTAGTCTGATAGATTGCGTTATATTGTTAATGATAAAAATAAAAACTATGTACATTATTTACAGTAATTATACTGAGTCACTAAACTTAACTTGGCCGTTTACTATTGGCAAGGCGGACAGAAACTCATCTAACAAGGGGCTCATCCTCAAGTTCCTTTAAGGAGTACAGCGGCCTTTTAAGCAATACATCTTTTAATAACTGACTGTTATGTGTTATAAAATTGCTCCTGTAATACCGGGGCTTGGCAATTGCTTGATTTCGAGCAACAAGTACACTTGTTAAAAATTAATTAATAGATTAACATAAGCTAATTGCACTCTTTCGTGATATGAAAATACACTCTTTCGCTGCACGTCTAGTAAAACGCCTGCAACGATGCGCTGCAAACCGCGCGACGAGTAGCTAAATGAACCGAAGTGTAAGCACGGCCACCTTTAACTCCAGGCCGCGGCCTGGTAGAATTGGCAACGTCGCAAGTAGGGTTATTTAGTGTCAGACGTACCATAAGATAACATGGCAGACAGGTGACATCAGCTCATTAATTCGCACTTAATTGTTTTGAATTTAAATTTATGAACATAAATTCATTGAAATATTGAAAATAAAACTTACAAAATTGAAAACCAAAACAATATGAATTGAAAATCTATATCTATACATTTAAAGCGGAGTCAATATTTTCATAGTCCACTAACCAAGCTTTCGTAAAAACACATATACTGTACCATTAGCTGCTTCCAAACAAAACAGCTGTTACAACCCTACTTGCGACGTTGCCACTTCGAAGGCCGCGGCCTGGAGTAAGGCGGCCGTGAGTGTAAGTGTCGTATAATATTTTTGTAATATTTATCATGAAATAGGCTCGTATAGTATAAGAGCATATTCCCGTAATTTATATAATTCAGTATTTGGCTCGTATACTATACGCTTTATTCCTTAAATTAAAAGTAATCCAATTTTTTGGCTCATAGCATTGACTATATAACACTAGTGTTATATAGTCAATGCTCATAGGCACTATGATCCGTAGAGTGAGTAAGTGAACCTTTCTTATTTATTATATATTTTCGATAGGCCCGTATAGTGTACGAGCCTATAGTGCAAGTGAACCTTCAATATTATTTACGAGGCTCGTATAGACTAAGATCTGTAGAGTAAAAAGTGAGCTGTCCTCACTTTTCCCCACTTAATAGTGTTTACTCAACGGAGGTATAGATGAGCCTACGATGACGATTTGGAGGCTTCTGATTAGCTGAGGGATCACCATTACCTTAACGATACGTTGTAGAGCCATCGGCCTTGGTGGTCTAATGAATAGCGTGCCGTTAGAAAAAATTTGAATTTGAGGCAATTATAATTTTATTTTATGAACAGAACTATTTTTTTCGATTAGTAAACCTCCATTATAAGCCAATGTGCTCTCTACTACAGCGCTATGGAGGAATTCTGAACTAAAATATGATGTCATCGATGACCGATGCCTCATTTATACCTCCCGTAAGTCAGACCCCCACTTAATCCTTTTCAATTCCGTAATTCCTGTCCCTTCTCTATTGAACTGTCTTCTGCTTCTCCCTCCTCCTGTCAATTTGTCAGTGCAGTGTCACCAAATCTAACGTCAACTTTAATTTATTTCCAATTCCAATTCCAATAGTCCATCCATGTTGTACATTGAGTTATTTGAGTTTGAGTTGTACTGTTGTACACAAACACACAGTGAAAGATATTCTCGATTTAGGCCTCCAGTCCCAGTGCACAACTTTTTGTTTTATTTTTGAAGACTTAGGTATCGTATATTGGAGAGATTATATTATCACTATCGATAATTTTATTCTTGTTATTAGGCCTATAGAGTATGGTCATCATCACTACTTTTTCGAAGTAAATTGGTTAGTGATAAGGAAATGGATAACGTTTTTACTGGTTAGGCTATATTGGTCCTATTTACTAATAAAATTACGTTACTATACCACAAGCTAAGCGGGGTTTCATCATTATCTAAAATGATAACTGATAAAGAATAAAAAAGTAGGAAGCCTAGGCTTAGGCCTAAGTTTAGTTATAACTTATCATTAGGCCTTGTCTTGCTTGGCTAAGAGAACTTTGGCATGGCAATTTTACATTTTTTGATTTTGATTGGTTTTACTGTGAGTAAACCTCATTACTAATCTTGTATTGCAATTTAGTTAATTATTAATGAACATGAGTAAGCCAAAGAGTGAAAATAATAATAAGGCTCTCATATTTCCCACATTGGATTCCATGTTACCGAAGACAGACAAAGAACTAACTAATACAATGGCTTCTTACTACGCTCTCCAAGTTGCTTTGCAAACAATGAAAGAAAGATGCCAACAATTACAACTAAGATTGTCAGCTGTTGAGGATGAAAACCTCAGACTACGGATTGAAAAACAAAGAGTGTCATCAAGTGTGGTTAAAGAGGACTCCAAAGGGGAAATAAGTGTTTTGCAGGAGCATATTGCTCAGCTAACGAGACAGAAATCACAATTAACTCATCACATATATATGGTGGCTACTGAAAATAAACAGTTATGGACAAGGTTATCCCGGTTAACTGAAGCAAACCACTCGCTTGGAAGTCAGTTGTCAAAAATATCTGATACATTGAGCAAACATCCATTAGGAGAACCATCAAAGCCAAACCAATCAATTCAGATAATAAATACCTGTGAGAAAGATCCTGGGGATGTTAACGGTACGTATAAATATTTGTTAGTTATACATATTACATATTATACCCCCTTAAGTTATCTGTATAGGCTAATATGCAGAGACGCCCGGGGGTGAGTTTTTAACATTTAAAATTAATTTTGGGCTAAAAGTGAAAAAAAAACATTTAGGCTAGATAGAAAATACTTTTTCAGATAAAATAGATGATAAAAAAAAATCAAAACTTCATTAACATAATAAACTACCTACCTATTTAAAGCATAAAAGATAGGCTACCAAAATCTTTGCAAATTGGTAGAAAAATAAAAATGTTAAAGAAACTAAATTGTACACCTGCGAATCGTTCTTTCTTCTGCTACGGTTTTGGAACACGGCCAAGCTAGGTGCGGCCCCCAAAGGCTTTGTACAGAAGGCCAGTTAGTTATAGGCCTAGCTATGATGCGTAGGCCTAAGTAATTGCCTTGACACATAAAAAGCCCTGTGGTATGTAATTCCTTAAATTTTTCCCGTGGTTGGTACAATTACTACAGCCAACAGCACAACATAAAGGCACTATTAAGACAGATCAACAATTTACAACAGTCCAACATGTTCTAGATTAACTCAGTGCACGCACACTTAAACACTCAAATTAAGTAGCACAGAAATGTCTTTTCTATCTAGGTACCGGTAGCCTATATTTTAGTAATTTATTATGTCTTTGAAGTATGCATTTTATTTTATCTTGCCGTAATGTAGGTTACTATGTGGAATTATTATTTCATTCATTCATTCACCCTTCTGTTATTTCATTCGTTCATCACCTGATAGAAGAATGCAATCCAGCCAAATGTGATTGGTTAGATAAAGAAAAAAAAAAAAAAAACTGTAAGTTTAGGTCACAATGTGTAGGCTAGCAGATATGCATTTATGATTTCAAACCAGTTTGTCACAGGTACAGAGACCGTATAACATTTTTGTGACCGAAGAGTAGCTTTTCAGACAAACTAGTAATCATAGTGATTATTGGTTGCCATATTTGATGCAGGGCCTATTCTTGGTCTACCTCATGGTCATTAAACATCTAAGATATTGTAATAAGATATAGTTTGTGGAAAATAACTTGGTTGTGTAGGACCTAGGGTTTGCTCACTGTTTATTTATGACTACCTACTACCAGCTATCCATTTTTTTGTTTCAGATCAAAAAGACAAAGATGAAAGCCTTGAAGAAATTTCCTTGAAGATTATAAGCAGTATAATTAGAGAGAAGATGGAGCTTGAACAGCAGTGTGATCAAGTGAGTACCGTTAGAACTGACTAAATCTTAAAATTGGTTAATTTTTTATCAAATGCTGTTTCTCAGACAGGAATAGCAGCCAAGCTTTCCTTTGTACTAAACCTCACTTGTTATGTAGGGTGGATACATGTAACTTAGTTTAAAAAAGGCTCAAACACTATTTAGGTACAGTCAAACAAGCTTGGCTTAAACTTCTAAAACTTCTTCAATTCAATTTGTCGTTCCGTTCGTTAAAACTTCCCTATATTATCAGTGTCAAAATAAGGTTGCTAATTTTAATGTATTGTAGATTATTTTAGTATTTTTTTTGTCATTAATGAATGACAGTTGTGATTCCACAAGGTGTGTGTCCAAAATATGGAATTAGGCTAATACCACTTGGTGTTGGAAAGACTTACAGTATGAGTGTTTCTCATATTGCAAGTCACATAAGCCGGTTGATATCATTGCTTTTCCCTTGCTTTCTTATATTTTGCAAAGCCGCTTCACCACTAGTTGTCTGCTAGCCTTGCTCCATAACTGCCAAATCCTATTATCTACTGTAGCCTATTGTCGATCACTTGATTATTCTTGATTGATACAGAGTAGGGAAGGCACAATAGGTTTGTGGTGTTATCAAATTCATTAGTAACTGTAGGGAATTGAACCTTGTGGAACTAAGCCCCGCCCTTCTGCAAGTTTAGCTCCCTTCCCAGAATTTGTTGATAGAAACGTTTCTTATTATGAAGGGTGGTCCATAAATAATTGATAATTTTTAAACAAATTTCAATTAGCTGTTGTTGCGCATAGATTTTTGATTGTTGTGTTAAAGAACAAATGTCACGCCGTTTGAGTACCGGTAATCATGGATCGTTGGACTGTATAACACCGTGCCTTTTGCGTTGAAGACCATTTTAATTGTTAGTGACATTATAAGGCGCCCCAGAAGGTTTTCACCTTCAATCAGTTGAAAGAGTCCTTGACAAAACATCTAGGGTCACCTTGATTGAGCTTTTGTGCAGTAACCAGTTTGTATGTACTGGTATGTAAATTCAAATCATCATGTAAAATACGATGCAAAAGTGTCCTATCAATCTAAAGCAACAGAATCCTTTCTCGCCAATCTTTTTGGACTTTGTAGAACAGATTTTAGAATTCTTGCAATGTTCTCATCTGTACGTACAGACTTTGACCTACCCAGAGTTAAACTAATTCAATTTCCCTTAAAAAGTTCTTAAATTAAACACCCACCTATAGATAGTATTCCTAGAGGGAACCACACCATGATGACGGACGTTGAAATTATTTAAAAATAACCAATGAGTTACAATCACAGACTCGTTATTTTTAAAATATTCTTTAATGCAAAAGGCACGGTGTTGTAAGTTGTCCAACGATCCATGATTACTCAAATGCCATGACATTTGTTCTTGTTTAGTACAAAAATGAAAATTCTACGTGTAACAACAACTGATTGACATATGTTTAAAAATTATCCGTTATTTATGGACCACCCTTTACTAAAACATACATTAGACCAAATCAAAAAGAATAATAGTGTTTTATTAATAAGTGGTTTTATTACAGATGTCAGCTTTACAAACAGGAACGTTGAGTGTGGAAGATTGTGACTTTGGTGGAACTCTGGGGGAGTCGCACGACCAGGAGTTGCAAGACTTGAGACGGGTTGTGGAGAACCTACGAGACACTCGAGAACAGCTAACTCGACACCAGGCTGGTCTTCGAGCGACCCTACTAACTCTCACCTCCGTCATAAAGAGTATGTAGTGTATTATTCATAGGCTAGTCATAAAGTAGAACATCAGTAAAAAGAATATCTAAGTTATAAAGTTATTTTGTCACACTACTCTATTTTAACGGACTTTCCATTCAAGGAATTTGTCTGTAAATAGCTGTTTGCAGACGCCGAGCTTGTTTGGAAAACACAGTAAGGAAATCCCTTACAACTGTTCTCACTGGTATAATTTCTAAGACAGCTCTGTCCTCTTTGCCTATTCTCCACGTCTTCTTCATGGTCTTTTTTTTTGGTCATGCACATTGTGTATCCTATGTAATGTGATTACTACTAGGCCTCTTCTGACTTATAACAATTCCCTCCCAACCATTCATTATAAAAAGGACATAACAAATTAATATCATCTTAAAAAAACAAACAACAAATACAACTTCTTCATTAAACAATAATTATTTAACTATTCTTATAGGGAACTTGTTAACTTTTATTTAAAGGTCAAATTTAATAGGAGGTCTTCTCTCACTCTGAGAACGGCAAAGAGTTCCTCCAGGGCTCAGTGTTTTCACTATCTTCATTGGGTCAGGTCCATATACTTCATCGTTCTGAATCATAGGTTGATCCACCTTGCGACATCCTTCATCTCCTCAGCTGCTTTATTGATAATTAGGCTAGTCTTACTGTTAGGTCATCCTGGGGAGACTAATATGTAATGTAATTAGAGCTTCTTCTTCAACATTTGTTCCAAATTTAGGGCGCAGGTGAGAAAAAACGCATGAACAAAACAAGTAGGGCCTTGAACATTCACTAAATAACTCACTTGACCAACCTTAACAATCTGTCCTGGCAACCAGCTTAAACATTCTAGTCTCACGCTCTTAACAAACCTCCTCTCCCACCGCAAACGATCTGAATTTGTTTCTTCTCCTATTAGCCGTTTCTTCAATCTTCAACTGTTTTTCAACATCTGAACGAGCCAGGTGGACTTTAAACAAACTCAAGTAATTTCTTGGTACAAATCTCAAAAATTACTCTGCTGGGGAACTTCCTGTGGTTGAATGCAGAATATTTCGATAAGGGAAAAGGAAACTGTCTATGTGATGTTGTAAGGCACGAGGTTGACAGATGAAGGATTTTTTTCGTAGTCTGTACCGCTCGCTCAGCAAGCCTGTTCAAAGCTGAGTGACACAGTGGGGTGACCACAAGAAGAACTGCATTGTCTTAAAAAAAAACATCAAACTCCTTTGACGTTAGTTGAGACAACAAACAATTGGGTATACTTTGCAAAAAATGGCTTCAATTGGAGACTGTCATTAGAGCAAGGCTACCCATTCAGTGTATAGATAGACTACTAATTTGGTCAAGCCAGGGTTGAAGTGGGTGGCTAAACTTATTTTCTTCAAGGTTATACCTACAAATTTCTTTAAGAAACCTACGATTTTGCCTTGGCTACAATCAGAAACGTTATAGGGCAGCCTTGACAATTGTAATGGTTTTGGTAAACCCCAGCTAACTGGAAGTTTACCCACTGTTACTTTGGGTGACGTCGCTCAGGAATAAACTCATCACTCGCTTACTAAACTCAACTTTATTATTAGCCCACCAAACAATACAAAGAACATAGAGATAAAACAAAAAGGTAGAGTAAACTGGATCAGTGATAATGATTTAGTTTACAACAGAAATGCCAATTTGGGTCAAATACTCTGAACCCAAATTTTGAAAAACCCTAAGATTGCCTTACCTGGGCCCAAGGCCAAAGACCTTTGTCTCCAGCTCCCCCAGCAGGACCCCGTCCACCAGTACACCACACTATCACTACACACACACAACAGACCCCCTGATCAAGTGCACTGGCCTACTTAAGGCAGGGTTCACACGAGCGACATATCTAGTTGACTGACGTTGACTAGCATTCCTCGCGACCCGGCGACACACCAATTCACACGAGCGACGGGTCCACCGACTAGATCGCAGGCGTGACGTAAAAGATGAGCATCGATAAAAAAGTGACTGATATTTGTTTGGTGCAGTGAAGTGATGTTTTGGACAGTTATCAATGTTTTTCGTAACTAAATTTGTATCAAAATAATGATATTAAAGTAATTAACCATCAATTAAACTATTGTAATAGTTTTGTTCTGTAAAACCTTATTGTTAAGAGGAAAAATGAAAATTTAAAATTATTTAGAGAAACCTATCACTGATAGTATTGTTGGACTTTTAATACAGTTTTCCAAAACGCGAATTATGCTATTCAGAACATTGCTAATTTCCTATTAATTAAATACACTAATTAAAACTTAATAGGCCTACATGCTAATGGAAACTAAAGAAAATATTTAATTGAAACCAAAAGATTATTATTTGTTATATGATTATACTCCCATACATTTTGTCTTCTTAATTATGTCGTGGTATTCCCAAAGACACAAAAGTTTTTTCATAGATTCGATGAAAATACAGTATCGATATCAAAGCCACTGGAATACATACAATACAATACAATACAATATTCTTTATTGTTCATTCGTTAAGAATTACAATAGTGTCAATACAATAGTGAATTGTACGTGTTAATTTCCATAATTTTCATAAAATTCCTTTATTGAGTAGAAGGGTCTTGCGATTAGCCACTTCTTCAACTCCTGGTGTAGCTTGTTGCCAGTCAGGTCTCTCAGGTAGTCAGGTAGATGGTTCCTCAGTTTGCAGCCGGTGTAGGAAGGTTTTTTCTCCCAAAGAGTTGTTCGGTAAACTGGTAGGGCAAATTTGGAGCCATGACGGGTGTTGTAGTGGTGCAGGTCTTGGTTTCTTGGGGGGTTTATTTCATCCACATACTTTATGGTTTCAAGTATGTAGAGAGACACCACTGTGAGAATTCCTAGGTTTGCGAATGCTAGTCTGCAAGCCTGTGGTGGGACAAGGTTGGCAAGGGCTCTTATGGCTTTCTTTCGAAGAACAAGGATTCGATTCATATTTTTTGTTGAAGTTCCTCCCCACACTGTCAAGCCATATCTAAGATGCGACTCTACCAGTGCGAAGTAAGCTGTTTTGGCCACAGAGAGTCCGCCTATGTAGTTTATTCTTATGACGACATATACATAACTGGTAAACAATGAAAACAAAGGAAAACCTGTCGCTCCTGTGAAAGCTCCCATTAGGCCACGTGTACTGCTACGCCGCTAGAGATATTGACTAGCTAGCGTCGCGACACTTAGCTAGGAAGCGGGGCCTGGCGATGGACATATCAGAACCTTTTCTCTAAACCAAATCGTAATCATAGACTACTAAGGTCAAAGCCCATCTCTAAATTCGAACAGCCGTTTGAGTGTGACTTGTTATGACCAAGTAAAAAAGTCAAAGGACAAAATGAAAATGAAATTAAATGAAATTATATTTATTTCCCAATTGAAAAATAGATACAATTTGTGGTATATTACATAATAAATTTAAAAATAAATTAAAAACAGTATATTATAACTAAATGGCACCAAGAAAAAAAACCTTATCAAATTTTATAGAAAAGGTCTACATAGGCAGGGGCCTGTGCTTGAGTTGCGGGTAATTTAAGCGACGATGATCCGTCACTAAAAGAAAACACCTTCCATACAAACAACAAAGTATAGAATTTTTGGACTACAACTATTAGAGCGAGTGCTTCCTTCTCTATTTGTAAGTATCGAGCCTCATGTACTGATGGTGTTCTTGATCCGAAAGCTTGGTTTTTCAGACCCGTCAGAAAGCTGATGTGAGATTACACCTCCTACTCCGTATGGGCTAGAATTATCCATGACAACAATGTCCAGTTTTGGTTTAAAGGGTATGAGAACCTTGTTTGTCAAAAGGAGCTCTTTTCTTTTTTGTAAAGCCCTTTCAAATTCTTCCAACCAGTTACCATTTGACGCCCTTGTTTCACAAATTGTATATTGAGTATAGCATATTGGACAGATTTGGAGAAATTTACTGTAATAGTTTAACAAGCCAATATATGACCACAGTTGGGTTAGATCATTTTGTCTTGGAGTATTAGCAATAGCTGCTGTCAATTCCTCACTTGTGTATATCCACATAGCGTCCAGGCAATTTCCCAGAAATGTAAGACTTTCCTTAAACAATTCATTTTTCCCTGCGTTGGTTCCCACCCCGTAATGTTGGAATCGGGACAAAACATCCTTAACCTTTTCGTTCTTCTCATCCAAAGACTGAGAAGTAATAAGGATATCATTTAAGTAACAATGTACATCTTCAATTCCTGCTAAAATGTTATCCATATCTGACCTGAAAATAGCACCAGCACTACTAGTCATCCCAAAGTTTTTTTTTTTTTTTTTTTGTCTTAAGGACGCTAGGCACGAGCCTGGGATTGTTTTTTACATTACTTCAGGCTAGACCTAGGGGTTGCGGCATTATCACTTAGATAAAATCCATTGACTTGGCGGGGATCGAACCCGGGACCTCAAGGACTGAAGTCCCGCGCTCTAACCACTACGCCAGCTCGCTCCCCCGTCATCCCAAAGTAGAGTCTCTTGTATTTTAATAAATCCTCGGGCATATTTTTTGTCAAACAGTTTCTCAGAGCTTGGACTAACACAGAGAAAACACAGAGAACTTTAATGTTCAATAGGCTGAACTCAAATCAGGTTGGTTGTGACTCCCGCCTGAAACTCACTCAGAACAGACATCTTTATTATGCTAACCACTGCTCCAGTATCAACGAGCAATTAATATGCTCATTATTGATTAACATTTCTGTGACCACTACCAGCGTAGGCTAGGCATTATATAGCCTATATTATACAGTATAGCCTAACTCATAATCTGGTGTAGTAACAGATTTACCCCACTTGATCATTGTCACTCTTCGAACAAATATTTATTATTCCTTTTACAGATCTAGCCTAGTTGAGGGCTGTTTACACATTTTATACACTTACTTTAAAGTTATGACTAACATAGTCCTTGTAAAAACAATTCTTAAAATCACTGTTCTGAATTTCATTTGAACTAAGGCTACAAAAGAACTTTTCCCTAAGAGCATGATCAGGGAATTCCTTGAAGCCACAGGTAGGGACACTGTATCCCCTCCTTCTGTGCACACCTATTAACCCTTCCCGGACGGGTGACGGATATATCCGCCTAAGTCTTTGGCGATAAAGGACGGGTGGCGGATATATCCGCTTATGGTTTTTGATGTTCCGGACGGGAAGTGGATATATCCGCCTTTTCTTCAAGACTGGCAGGTGTTTGAGCAGTAAGCAGATGTTTCGCTGTACCAAAGCGCCAATCTCCTGCTCTCTCCATGGCTTCACTCTCTCCTGCACTCCTTCTCTCTCCCACACCTCCCCTTCTCCCGCACACCCTCCACTTCTCCTACGCTCCCCTCTCGACGTTTCGAGCTCAACAATACTTTATTTATTATTTATTGTTATTTATTGTATTTATTGTTTACATATTGTTCTTTATTTATTGCCTAACGTTGTCATGGTAATATCTTCAAAGAGGGGTGGCGGATATATCCGCTGCTTTTCTACTCATCAGCGGATGGGTAGCGGATATATCCGCATAGTTAAAAACGAGTAAAAAATGATTTTTACAGTATATGAAGTGTTCCATTGTGTCTATTTTATGTATACTTGTATAACAAAACACAACTAAGAAAAATTATCTTTTATTTTTTCCTATATTTTTTTCCCGTTCTATGTCACAATTTCGCCCGTCCGGGAAGGGTTAGAGACAAAGCTTTCATAGGCCTTATTCTTCTTAGGCAAAAAGAGTGAAGTTGAAGTTCATACGATCACATCAATGTTACCTCTCCAGGTTTTTTTTGCAGCAAGAGATTTTTTAGAGTAATATTCAGGTTCCGGTAAAATAGAAGAAATTTCAGTAAAACAAACTAGGAGAAATTCACCCTACAACCAAAAAATATCATCTGCAGATTGGTTTCATTTACTCTTTAGAGCTATGACGGATTGACAAACGATTCTGAGGTGTTTATGTCAACGATGTGGTCAGTACGATTGGCCAACTGAGCCCAAAAGTTATCTCTTTTACTGCTAACACATTTTTTAATAGATTTCAACTGGAAATCAATCGCAATTTGTTACCTGCAATGTATTGTACTGTTGTATTTATTGGTAGATTACTTTACTCATTATCAAAATTTAGCTTTGTAGGTTTTAAAAGCAGCTTATTTAGTGTAATGAAAAATAGTTTTTGCAAGTTTGCTTTCAATGAGAAATTAAAATCTCAAACTTGAAACATGGATCTCAAGCTTACAAAACCTCACTTTTGGCTATTGTAAAATATACCAATTTGGTTGTTTTAGATGGAACATCTTGTAAGAAGTGCAAGACATGTGAAAAGTCTGGTGTACAGACTATAGTGAATAGAGATTGTAGTCAAGTTGTTCAGACCAAAGTCACAACAGTCACAGAACCACTGGCTGATCCTGAAGACAACAGGACTATTCAGGGTAAGGCAGAAGCTAACACAACATTATGCAAATTCACAGAACCTAAACTGACCCCTAAGGAGCTAACTTAATAACCAGAGTGTAATTTTTTTGTCTCGAGCATTATCATGGCTCAAAATCACGTCTAAGATTGTTCCTTCAATCATTAATTCTTTAGGGAAAATAGGTGAGAAAAAAATATAAACATTATCAGCAAACTGACACATTTTAACTCTTGAACCGTAATGTGTACAGCATTGTAGGTTGACATTAAGTTGAAAGGACTGTAACATAACTAAATTTATATAGATCGTTTTTTGTTGTTGTGAAAATCCAATTGTTTCATTATTTTATGTGTGCTATAAAAATCAGTTTGATAAATCAAAGTTTCATAACAAATTTCAAAAATTCACCCGGAGATTCATCAAAATCAGACCACAGATATAGTCTAGAGCTCTGCACAAATCCTTACTCAAACACACACACACACAGAAATCACTTTGAAAATCACTTTTTAGGTTCAAGCCGAAACTCAAAACTAAAAATTTTTACAAAATCATTAGTTTCCCCATGAATACTTGTTGTCTTAATATTTGACCAATGTTTCTCGGATTGATAGGATCACCAAACTAAATATATTTACAAACTGTAGACTTGTTGGAATTACTTTAAAAAAATTTAATTACTTTACGCTGTAGTAGGCGAGACTGTAATTAATCATTCTCAGCCTGGCATTAATGGTTCGTAGGATAACTCTTCTTGACTGTACAGGGGCCATTTGTGGATAAGTTCTTCATCAAGGTCTTGAACGCTGTACAATCAAGGTTCCTCACACTTTTAGGCAGAGTGTTGAAGATTTTGATTACCGATCGAGCGTATCTCTTCAAGGTGTGACTTAAAGGGCAACTGGGCGTTTTCAAGTCATGGGCCTCTCATGCCATAATCATGCTTACTACCTCGGATCTCAAATTCGCCCAGGTTTTCCTTCATCAGAACCAGACTGTTGAGCACATATTGGCTTACAACGTAATGGATTCCCATTTCCCTGAAAATGGCTCTCTAGGGCCTTTTGATGTAATGACGCTCGCAGCTTTTTTCTGAAGCAACTGTATCTCATGGCATATAGGGGAGTGTCCCCAGAGCACTATCCTGTACACCACATGACTATGTGGCATGGTATATGGTTATCATAGCCTAGGTCTTTGTAATTTCTTCTCGGAGTTTCCTTTAGATGTAGGCCTACTATGTACAATGTATAGGGGAGCAAGTATAAACACAAAAGCTTTCACTTTAGTTTTTTCTTCCTCTTCAGTCTGGTGGCCAAGGCCTTTTTAGAGCAGTTTTTGTGAAGGAGCTTTTTACAGATTGCAGAAATATTCCATGTAACCATGTCTAAATATTACCACTGATTGGGTGATCCATCCCTTGAACGCATCATTGTAATCAATAGGCTGAATGACAATTTTAAGTGTCCTATTCATCACTAATACATTTATCCATGTTCACTTGTATTCTACTACGACATGAATATTGGGCCTATTCTTTTCTTGGTCAGTTTTTGTTGTTAGGAAAACTTGCTATTTTATGAGTATCATTTTGCGTAGCCTATTTAACTAATCATTACTGTGTGCATGTCCACCAAAAACCTGTTATAAGTAGGATTTTTTGTGTAAGGCCTACCGCACACGAGAGACTTTTTGTCGGCCGACTATTTTGTTGTAGTCGTGAGTTGAAGTCGGCACCATAGTGGTAAATCTGAGCGTGTACACGGGCTGACCATAGCCAGACAGTCGGCAGACTGTCAGCAGACAGTCGGGGCGTTTTGGGGCTGACCGATTTTCCCGCCGACTGCTCCCCGACTCGACTTTTGTGTCGTATTGATAAAGGCATAGAGACAAGTTTGAACATGCACACTGTCGACTAAATAGTCTGTCAGTCTAGCAGAGTTTTGTTGTGTGTACGCTCCGAAGACAGTCAAGTGCGTTATGACTGTGACAAGTGCAAGTATTTTGCAGGGTTAAAAAGTTGAAAAAACTTATTGATGTAGTGGAGGCACGGCCCCCTCTTTATTAAAAGTCATTGAAGGAGTATTCAGACATGATATTAAAGTTATGGGAAGAGGTATTTGAAGCCTTGGTGGATAACTGAGATACCCTGCAAACACAGAAAAAATCTGTCCGGATATTTTCTTAAATCCGAGTATAGGCTAATAGGTAAAACTGGCCTTTCAAGGTTCTCTGACTATAAATTGGATGCACCCAGTATTTTCTTTTACGTTTTCTTGCACGAAATCTGATCAGTAACGCACATATGACAGCGGTTTCTGTCATATCCATCCTTTTGACACTCGAAAGACGACTTAACAGTCGTGGTGTGTGCACCCACAGTCAGGGACCAAACAAGTCTTTTCGACTTTTCGATTGTCCACCTGTCTCCAGCCAGACAGTCGGCCGACAAAAAGTCTTTCGTGTGGGGTAGACCTAAGATGAGAGAAACTTGATAAGTGTATGAATAATTATATCAACTAAAAATACCTTTGAGTTTTAGTCTTTCAACAAAATTTCTCAAAAGATTGGTTGGTGCCTGTTTGGTCTTGTTTGAAAAAAAGTTTTGATCCTATCCAAAAAGTTTCGCTTTCGATCCTTACCCTGAAAAAACCCATAGTAAAAAATTGTTCTTACAGTATCGCTGCTTTCACAGAATCATTTGATTTTATCCCGGTTCATCCATGTATAATTTGTGGGACCACAGCTAATTTTTATGTCTGTTTGCTAGGTTGCTATGCCCGTCACCCTTTTCAAGTGATAAATTTTTATGAAGCAATGTTAATTTCATTAACCATTTGACGTTTTTACTCATTATTCCTATTAACTTAAAACTTACTTTGGCGCTACATTCCCAGTTGCTTTTTTATTACACATTCTACGTATGCTACATTCCACTACTTTTAATATTCATGAACCATTCATTGCCTGTGTAGCCGAGTGGTCATAGTGCTCCCCTACAAATTTGAAAGTCGCGGGTTCGATTCCAAGCGAGATCGATTCTGAACCTTGATTTCAAAGGACCTTTTAATGACACTAGTGTATTTCTTATTAAAATGTCAATAAATAAATTGATTGATTAATTTATTGGTCATTTCTTATTAGGCTATCAATTTTTAAATTTTTTTCCTTCTGTCCTTGGATGTTAGGCACGATCCCGGGATTGTTTTCACATTACTTCAGGCTAGACCTAGAGGTTGTGACATCACCTAGATAAAATCCATTGGTGATTTTGGGGGGATTTCAACTTTGAACCCAGGTCCTCAGGGACCAAAGTCCTGCACTCTACCACTAGACCAGCTTGCTCCCAGGGCTATCAATGATACTATCTAACAAACAATCGATGGTAGGTAAATAAGACAGAGTTTGGACTGTTCCCTTACTAAAAACGTAAAAAAATCCGATGGTGTACATAAACACAAATAGATTTTAAAAATCAATCCAAGCAAAATAAAATATAACTTCTAACAGTATTCAATACAGGGTGGAAAAAAAGTCTCAGGACGGTTAAATATTTTAAAAAATGATAAAAATATAACTTCAAAACTTGGTACACAGTTCCTGGGCATGAAAATCTTTTTGATACATTATTCATTGATGCGCTACCTCCTCAGGGAGACAATGAGCAATGAGTCAGAAGAAAATATTAAACAAAAGCATAGGTTGATATGCACATATATGATATAGCTACACTTATAATATAAACATGTACAAGACATTACATTTTGATAAAATATAAGAGCAGCATTTGACCCTCTAAGTATTTGATCGGACAGTAGGTTTGGTCTAAATCGAACAACACTTTGATATATATTTACTGTCATATAAGTTTTAAATAAAAATGGAGACGTATAGAATTGGACAAATAGTGATAGAAGACGTAATTTATAGTAGACGTTAACCGACCTTGTATTGACCGATAATTGGATTATCTGCCCTTGCTCATAAGATATTACATTTTGTTTTAACCAACCTTGTTTTGAGAGCAGTTTGGTTTAACAACCACTTAAGAATTTCAGCATTTCCACTCCAATGCTTGGCGATGGAAACAATATGCTAAACTCTACAGGATATAACTAATAAAAAGTTAATTTTTATGTAAGCCTATCCTAAAATTTATTGCATATTGCCTGTTTGTCATCATCTTTTGTAGCACGAGCACTTCGATTCGTCATCCGTGCGGCAAAGTTTATAATAATCGTAAAGTGTGTTGAAATGCATGTTTAGCTGTTTAGAACGACTCCAAGGTCAAGATCACTCAAGCCTTTAGTGAGAGGCTTAAACATACAGCTTAACAGGAATAAACATCCTGTCTCTTAAGGAAATGGTTGCTTGTATCTTTAATTTTGACATTAAATTCTGTACTGTAATAAACGATAGATTTGAAAAGCATTAATTAATATATTAAAGGTATTTAAATAAGAAATTTTATTGCCACTTGCCTACGACTATAGTTCATTACATTGAAAGTATTTTACTTTACTGTGTTTTGGATAGTGACTTTTCTATTGTCAATACATAAAAATAAAAAGGAATATGTAGTTTAATTTGTAATGCATGCACGACTTCGGATAATGATTTTATAATTCCAAATAAATTAAATAGCACTTCATAAGTAATTTCCCATAAGTTTTAGGGATTGCCCGTTTTAACCGACCTTTTGTGTAATCTGGTCGGTTAAGAGGGGGTCTACTGTATTACGGTATATTCGTAATTCTTAAGAAAGTGGCAATGTAATATGATAATGATAATCAAGAAGTTATTGAATTCAGTAATTTAGAACATTTTGTAAAACCAAGTGATATCAAGGAAACCAGTTATGCTGTTTCTCAAAACATTTTCTTGTTGACTTAAGGTTACAATAATTTTGTAGGTCAAGAGGTGGAGTTCGTAGAGGATCGCATCTGTCCGTTATGCGGTCAGTTCTTCCCTCGCACAGTTCCTTTCGAAGAGTTTCACTCCCACGTTTTGACTCATTTTTCTCACGAAGACGCTGATTATGATTCCATAGTTAATAACTATGAAATGGTCAACTAATAAATTTCCTTGTAGATGAAATATAGTATATTAGAAAAAATTGTTGGTGCTAATTTCGTAATGAGTATAATTATAGTGGAATTTTTTAGTGTTATTAGAGTTATTTATTTTTACTATGTTAAATAATATGCTAATTAATTAATCAGTAAGACGCTAACTCTTTTTTTAGAGGTTAAGTGTAAAATTTAAAAGATAGGAATGAGCAAGATTGGATTTTGGTCCAAGGACTGCATATTCTTCCCTAAATTTAGAGTTTTTCAAAAAGTTGTATTTGGTATACATATTTTGAGTTAAAAGTTGTAATATTTTCCTTCTGGGAGGAAAACAAAAACTAACCTTAACATTTTTTTTTAATTTTAAAAATACCAAACATATTTTTTGGTATGTAAAAATAAATGAACGAAAAATACCTTAGCATCAGTGATATTTCAGAAGTATATATGATGATCTAAAACAAAATGAGTGGTAGCTAGCCCTAGTAGCATAATTTAAGTAATACAGAACCATTTGTTTCTGTCATCATCATTTTGGTTGGTACAATGTGTTATCACAATTACATGATGACTATGATTTTTGATAGATTGTAAATTGTCAACTATCGCATAAACTTTGCAGACGTCTTTCACAATTGGGATAACATTAAAGTAGTTTTGTAAAAATATAGTAAAATTACTAAAGTTGTATTCCAAAATAAAAATTAAACTGAAATGTCTGGTATATTTTAAGTCTTTAACATCTCTAAAAATATTCTTTAGCGTATAATTGTAGAAATATTAAAATGCCTTGTCACTTAAGACCAGTGATCTCTTTATTGTAGAACTATCAATGAAACCTGTTGATTTATCTTTATTCTAAATTTAATATACTAAATCTTGACGGAGATTTTCTCAATTTCTTAATTACATGTTTAAAATGTACAGGAAGAATAGAGTATTTTGTACACAAATTGTAGAACCATGTGTATTTTAAGGAAGTTTTATGGATTCAAATTGCAATTACCTATTTTAAGTTTTAACTATAATGATCAATCAGTTTAAGCATGTTAACCAGGATGCATTGTGATATGTTACCAAGAATCATTTAGTTTTAGTAATAATCATGTTAAACCATTATTAATGAATTGTAGATTATTTGTTGATTTAATTATTGAATCCAATGATGGTAGTAATATCTGTTATTAATTGTACTTATTGAATGTGCGTCAACCTTGTTAAATTGCATAAAAAATGACTTGAAAGGCATAGAGATTTTAAGAGAATGGTTCTAACCAATTGAATATCACATTAAAGCAGTGCTTTAGTTTAAGGGATATATATTTTATACCTGTTATTTTCTGAAGATGTTTTAATTTTAATTCTCCCAGTTAGACCAAATCTGTTGATTTGTTATTCAACAGACTTAAATTTACTGTTATCATTGGGTCAACAATTAATGATGCTGTGTTATAAAACTTCAACCTTATAACTATATTAGGGTTTGGACCTGTCCTAAAAAAACTCTAAATTATACTGATGTAACATTGACATATCATTACATCAAAATGTAAAATTTACTGACTGAAGATTTTGATTTAAATAAAGATCAAAAAATTGCAATTAAGATTTTATATTTTGATTTTTGTTTAATTTGTTCATAAATCATGGCTTATAAAAAATATATTATATTGTATATAATGATATATATTTAAACTGTTTTCTATTATTATAATAATTTATTTGATTATTACCTGTGGGTTAAATCTGTCCAAAGTTTACTGTGTAATAAAAAGTTGTTTAAGTACAGAATTTTCTTGGATTTGTTCCCTCAACAGTTTTCTTATTGTTTTGAAAGCGACCATTGAATGGGACTGTAGAAATCTTTGTTAAACATACAACATTATACATCAACTGTAGTTGAAAGGACACTGCATTTAAGGTTACAAAATAAAATATGATACATTTAAAATACACTTTCCCCATTTAAAATGCACTTTTAGTTAAAATTTTCAAACAAATTCAAATGTGTCTACACTTAAGGCAGATATCAACCAAGTTTTGTTTTTTTTTTATACAGGGAGCCACAAAATGATCTGACGGTTTTCTTTGCCGTCCTGTCGAGCGAGTGAGTGGTGGAGGGTAATAGGCGCGTTACAAAGCAAATGTGCGGACATTTTTAGTAGGCATGGAACAGTGGATGGCTGAGCACCATGTATTTGTAGTGGAATTGTTTTTAAAAGTGGAAATTCCTGTGTAGCTGTTCAGTAGACGTTTCAATGTGGGTCAAAGAAGAAATGTCCCAACTGGAAACACCATTTTGTGTGGGTGGTTAACTTTTTAGAGCTACTTGTTCAGCATTGTGAAAAAAGGTTAACCAAGGTCCAAAGTCAGCCCGGACGGCAGAGAACGTCAAGTTAGTAAAGAAGACTGTGTGGCAAAGAAAACCGTCAGATAATTTTGCCGCTCCCTGTATATTGCATAGCACATTATAACCTCTTTACAAGGGCAGGTCAAACATTTACTATTATTTGAGGGCGAGTTTTCTAACCCCCTTTCCAATGTGTTTCTAAAGCCTCCTAAAACTGTACCCAAACTTATGATATTCAATTCCTGTTGATTCAAAGATATAACATCACCTTATGTTATGTCCTTCCTTAAACCTGGTGAATTTCCCATTTTGGAAATAAGCTATTACTGCAGGTCTCATGATAAAGACCTAGACCCAGGACCAATATACTTGATTTTTTTCGATCTTTTAAATATTTACATCCTCGATGTAACTCGAGTAAAAGTCAAGCGATTTTGATGAATCTTTGTACAATCATGTAAACATACGTTTATTCAAACAAGTTTATGAAGCAGCATGATTGGACTAAGGGACTGAGGTTTCATGGGGTAAAAATTGTTTTTTCCTATTTTTGACCCTCAAAACAAAAAAATGATAATCTATATCCAAACCATTTTGTAGAGCTTAAAAATTCAAATAATTTAGTATATAAAGCGATCTTCTGTGCCTAATGGTTACGGAGGAATTCCCAAAAATTGAATGTAAAATTCCTATATTCTTATGGTGGATAAATAAAATTGTTGTAGTTTGCTTGTTTACAGACATATTTTAATCAAATTTTATAGTTAATTTATTTCATAGAAAGCTTTTACGTTTCAATAAAAACACACCTTATTACCTTCCTTGTAGCAGCAAACCTAAATGCTCATTAAAATGAATGTTATTTAAATAAAAAAGGAATCTGATATATTTAAGGAATTACTTTAGTGAAAGTATCTGGCCAATGGAAATTCTATGAGTCTGCAGTTGCTGCCTGGAGGGTATTTTATTATTACACACAGATTACAGAAAATGCATGACATAAATTAATGCATAAATTATTTGTACCAAAAATTACTACTTATTTTATTTATTTTCTACTACTGGATAAAATGGTTTAAGTGCTTTTCTAGCAATCAGAAGGCTGCTGGTTTGATCCTGATTTTGAAGTCAGAAGCTTTTAGATGGCCCAACATTAGACCCAGTTGTCCTTGATCATAGGACTTTTAATAAACCTAATGCTATAAGAACGGCAAATTTTTGTCAGTAACAAATCTACATAGACCAGTGGTTCCCAACTCGCCGGAGTTGTGGACCACTTAATTGACAGACATTTAGCCTTCTTTCACACCGTCCCGGGGTTGGGGGGGGACCGTCCCCCTGTTTAGACTATTGAATTATATGGGAGCTTTCACACCAGTGCGGGTTGACCCGGACGGTCCTAAACCTCTGTCCAGGTAGAAAAATCACCCGCACGAACCTAAACTTCCAATGCGGGTCGAAACCGCATGAATACTTTTTAGATCATGGGCTCTAATGTATGCTTTCAAACTTGCGCGGGACGGGCTGGTTTCGCCCGCACGTAAATGAGTAGTTTTGACAGTCTATGCCTATCAGTGGTTGAGTGTGGTTGATTTTGTAATACTCTTGTTAACTTAATAGGGAAGTTTGTTGTTTTTGGTATGGAGGTTGAAATTTATATACAGCTGATTAGTTTGGTCAAGCTTTATATTTTGGTTCAGTTTGAAGGCCAGTGTGTAGGACGAGATCCCCACTGCAGCAAACCATCTTTCATTTGCATGTTTAAATTTTTACAAACGATTTTATTAAACATACCTGATTTATTAAATAAAGAAACATTTGGTTTAACGAGCACTTACATGTTCTTCTAAATATATGGAAGGAAATGAAGTGTTGTTTAAGCTAAAACCGCCAACAAATATGTGCATGAAATCCATATATATCAAAATTTGAACTACAAAATTACTTTATCTCCTACAGTGGACTGAAATAAAAAAAAATGGTCCCAGATGTTATAGTAGAAAGTGAGTCATTACATATTTGAGACCATGTTTGAAGTTTTTTAGAAATTTTTATTTTTAATGGGGATTTTCCCATAAAACCCCATAAAATAACGGAAAAACAGGATTTTCCCAAAAACAGCCATCACGATTTTAATACAAATTTAGTATGTTATAAGGTAAATGCACCAGTAGCTGACAGTGCTCCAGAAGCTGACAGTTTGAGTTTCTTAACATTATAATGTGGTCTCTTAAAAATATTTACACATGATTGCATTGTTAGAAGAACATATGTTTATTCTTGATTTGTTTACAAAAAAATCAGTTAAATTTAGCCCATACTTGCGGAATGGTGGTGGTTTGAAAGCGACCCTGTCCGTACACATCACATTTAGTCGATTCCCTTAATGAAATTGTTAAGAAAGTTAGTTTGGTTTTTTGTCATTTCGCTAAATTTCGTAAATAGTATTAATGATTAGGCTCATTATTTTTATCAATTATACCTTTGTTGACAATTTCATGAAAAAATTGGGGCGTTAGGGGTTTTGGATTTAAAATTATATCAATGTCAGGCTTTGGTACACAAAAGCCATACAAGTTCCACTAGCTGACAGGGGATATTTGCTACTTGCACAATATTAAATTGGTTTCACCCATCGAAATTTGCATGCTATTTATAATTTATGTGATCTCACATTTTTATAAAATTATTTTAATTTTTTAATTTATAAGCCAAATTATCTTAAAAAATGTATATTTTTTAAAAATATATATAAAATATATACAGGGTGACAAACAAGTCTGGAAACGGTTTAATATCTTTTTAAATAAATCCGTTAGAAAATTCAAACCTTTCACATCAACTTACATGTATGAAAACTACTTTTTCCAAGCATTATAATTTTTTTACCTCTACCAGGGGACGGCCCACGAGGAGTAGGTACATAATCTTTAATGTAAGCATATGTTGATATGCACATCATTTTAAAGGTCTGGTCAAGTGGAGTTCATTGCCGGAAACTGCGTCAAAAAAGGTTCATCCGTTACAAAATGGCGGCTGTCCAAAGTTCTTGTGGAATATACCCGCACAGGCCTTAGTATTGGTAAATACTCGTATTAAACATTAGCTTGAGAGCTGAAAGTGTATTTTAAAGTCAACTAGCTCATAGATTAATATTATAAAATCTTCAAAACAAATTTAACCGAGTTTCAGATTTCCCGGCTAATGTTGAATATGAGTATTTACCAATACTAAGGCCTCTGCAGGTATATTCCGCAAGAACTTTGGACAGCCGCCATTTTGTAACGGATGAACCTTTTTTGACGCGGTTTCCGGCAATGAACTCCACTGGACCAGACCTTTAAAATGATGTGCATATCAACCTATGCTTACATTAAAGATTATGTACCTACTCCTCGTGGGTCGTCCCCTGGTAGAGGTCAAAAAATGGTAATGCTTGCAAAAAGTAGTTATCATACATATAAGTTGATGTGAAAAGTTTGAATTTTCAAACGAATTTAGTTAAAAAGATATCAAGCCGTTTCCAGACTTTTTTGTCACCCTGTATATATATTTTAATGTAAATATTATTTATTTTAAAATATGTAAAATAAATTTTCTTAATAACGTTTTATGTGATTTTATAATTTAATTATTAAGTTAGATTTTATTCGTCTTATAAATGATAAAACCTTTAGGTTTAGCAGCTAGTACATTTAAGTTCCAGTGTCAGCTACTGGGACAACTGACAGTCAGCTACTGACAAGCACTTTTTTCACTGTCAGCCACTGGAACACGTACAAAGGTTGAATTAAGTTTAAAAATGTTATAAAATATATTTAAAAAACCCTTTTTGTATGACAAATTTGAAAACTACACTAAATTTAGAATCACATAAAATCCGTAATATCTCTTTAGTTCCTATTTATTCAAAACCACGGATTATTAAGTGCGTATAGTTTCTTATACTGTCAGCTACTGGTGCGTTTACCTTAGTCCTTTATATTCTGAACAAAATGGTACAAATCCCATTTCTGTAAAAAATACGGTTAAAAAGTTATTGTAAATTATGTTATTTTCCAATAAAAACCCCATAAAATAACAGAAAAGTCGGATTTTCACAAAAATGGCCCGAACGATTTTGAAAAAAATTTAGTATGTCCTTTAAATTCTGATCAAAATTGTAGTAATCCCATTTCCGTATATTTACTCTCACCGCTTACACATGATAAGGGTTGTTGACAAACTTATGGGAGAAAGTATGTGTCAGAATGCTGATACTGTTTATTTATCATTAAGTTTAAATATAAAATACATGTTCTCACTGCGCAGTTTTTCTAAAAATGTCACACACAATTTTTAGAAAGTTTAAATAGTTTGTAGCAATGTTTTCAGTGTGACTTTGAATTTGAAAAA